GACTTTAAAAAAAAAATTATAGCCCCCTAGGACTTAGTTTATTAATTAAGGATATACTTAAATTTATAGTTTTTCTTTAAAAATACCTTAAAATTATAAAAAAAAAAAGTTTTTAAAGTAACTAATTTTTTAAAATTTTTAAATAAAATATAAAAAAGGTTTTATTAAATATAATAGCTATAGTAGCTAAGGCTTATATTACCCTTATAGCCTTATATAAAATAAAGGCTTTTTAGCTTAGTAAAAGTAAATAAAATATAATAAACCTAAATAAATAAGTAAAAATAAACTTAATAAAGTTAATTATAATTTTAAAGCTTTTATTTAAAGTAATAGCTAAAGTAATTATCCTTATATAAAAAATAATTAACCTTTTTATTATATATAAAAAATTAAAAATCCCTTTAGTATTAGTATAAGTAATATAAATTAAACTTTATATAGTAGCTTACTTTATAAATTTAAATAAGAATTACTTAGTTAATAAATATATTAATAAAAAACTCCTTCTTAAAGTTTTTTTTACTTATAATATACTATAACTTTAATAAAAGAAATAATTTAATCTTTTTCTTTTATTAAAAATAATAAAGTAGTTTAAGTAAGCCTAAACTTTAAAAGTTTATTAAAGTTAAAGGTAATAAAAAAATACTTAAAATTATTTAATAACCTCCTTAGGTTTACTTTTTTTATTTACTTAAATAATTTATAAAATAAATAAGGTAATATAAGTTAAAAAGCTATTATATATTATAATTTTAAAAAAATTATAATATATAATCCTTTTACTAATATAAAGGTTTATAATACTAAGGTAGTAAATACTTTTAAAATTATAAAGTTAATTAAAATATATACTTTTATAAATTTAAATATTTAAAAAATACTACTTTTTTTAAATAACTTAGTAATATTAAATAAAATACTAAAGTTAACTTTTACTTTATCTTAAGGAGCTTATATAAAGTTATATTAAATTACTTAAAGATTACTTTTATAAATTATTATAAAAGTAGCTTAAGTTTTAGGTTATAAAAATATATTAAAAAATAAAAAAGCTAATTAATTAATAAAAAAAAGTTTAAAATTCTTTTATTATTTATAAAATTATTTTACTATTACTTTTATTAAAAAATAAGTAAAAAAAAATATATATAAAAATATAAAATAATAATTAAAATAATAATTATTTAAAATTTTATAAAATTAGTAAATAAAACCTTTATAAAGCCTTTTTTATATTTTTAAAATTATATTTTTTATACTTAATTTTATATAAACTATTAGTTAAAAAGTTTAAATATAAAAACTTTATAAAATATTATAAAATATTTAAATATAATATTAAGTTTACTTATAAATATAAAAAACTAAAGATATAAAAGTACTTTATAAAGTATTATATAATAGCCCTTTTCCTTTTTAATATATTAAAAAAAGAAGTATATTTTAAAACTACTTATATTTAATACTTCCTTAGTAATAAAAGATATAAAAACTTTTAAAAACTAATAAAAGATATAAGCTTATATAGCCCCCCCTTTATAAAAATAAATATATAAAATAAATTAATACTTCCTTATTTCCTTTATTATATTAAAATATAGTAAATACCTAATTTAAACTTAGCAGCTTTTATTATCCTAGTACTTAGATAAAGACTTATATAACTAAATTACTTAATAAACGTTAATAATAAAATAAATAAATAAATAAATATAAATACTATTAATCTCTACCAGGCCCGATTAAAACGAGAGAATAGGTATACGCTCTTAATATTTTTTTAATATAACACCCTCTGCTATTCTCAGATCAGTGTAAGGTATGTATTCATTTACTAGATGGCAATGGATCGCATAATACTCGTTTACGCAATATAGATATACTCGGTAGATGTGGTCTTGCAATATGAGGGTATATACATAGGTGCATATATACAGGTATATATATCGCTGAGCTACATATAGGCTGTGTATCTCTCCGGCGTTGAAGTACGTCATCGGAGCACAAGTCTGGTTGTTTTTACCCGCTCTCGGCACCCATTGATATTCTATGATGTGATTGGCACGGGTTATTTTATTTGTGAAGATCACGTCCCGGGCTTTCGCTTGCAAATGTAGCGAACCCCAAGCGGGACTCTCCGCATAACCCCACGCATTAGCGTAACGGCAACAGGCAAACATCTAAAGTAGGGTGTGGTAACAATCTAAAGATCTGGCAGAGACTCTTAGAGAGTTTATAGAGTATCTAGACTTGGGACACCAGCAGATGAAGCAACATAAAACTCGAAACGAAAGCCAGTATTAGAGCGTGATCAGCTGGAAACGCACCCACTGCCTATGGTGCGAAGTGATATCATTTGATTCACTAAGACAAGTAGTATTGAAGACTATAATTATAAATCCCCATGAGAGCTCCAAGCTTCCTGCAATGACTGTATTCCTTCAGCAGTCGCCAACGTCGTGACTCGCTCAATTCTCTGTAGCATACGGACCAATTCAGCTTGCTGCTCCGGCTTCTTTAAACTTTGACCACCTGATTATCTAGTATCAGCAACAAATCTTGTACTTGGGGCACAGAACTCACAAACAACCAGAGGCTGCACGGCGTTAACCAGAGCCCCGGGATATTTATCGCCAAGGGCTTTCGTCATGCCGCATAATTGGATTGTATGCTTCAGTATTTCACCCTTCTCCGTGTTAGAAAGCAATTTGAATTGCAAACATTTTAAGCTGATATGATTGAAAATTAACTTACTTCGACAGCTCTTGCAAACTGTAGAAACCCAATGCCGCTTGGACGGTGTGGATTATGTAGGGCGAGAAGCACCTTTACTAGGTGATAGAACTGCATCGCCGCAACTGAAAGATATCAGCCACAAGAAACTGCATATCGGCGAGAGTATGGCTCACTATGCCAAGTACAAAGGTACAATATTTCTGGAAACCCCTCGCCATCTTCTATAACATATACAGGATCAAATGACTCCGGCAATGAGTCTTTCCAAGCATTTGCTTCATTCTGTAGCTCATCCCAGCTGCTTTCATCGCCATCATGACTTCCAGGGTATCGAGAAAAGCAGTAATCTATTACTTCAGCCGTCAACATAGTCATCTTTTCTGTTTTAACGTGATCCGTATCACCGCCCCACGTAATGTCAACTTTCCAGTTGCGGGGACCGATGGTGGTTGGCTTCCCTGTTGCAAGAGCAACCATAATCTCTTCACGGAAGTAGGTCCAGAATGCTGTCCTTTTGAGTGCCCTATAGCCAATGTTCTTTCGATTATGTGTAAATAAAGATGAGCACCCCCGAAGATGTCTTTGGTGATCTGTTTCATAGCTCATCATCTCATACATCCTAAGAATAACGGTGGATATTGGTAGTACATTATCGAGAGTCGTAGATGGGTCGGCTAAGGCTGGTATAAGGCCTTGGACACATAGATCATGGTAATGAGCAGCATAAAACTCATCACAAGATCCGTCTAGTCGATTGAGATGGCATGCCGAAAATGCGAGGACGGCGTGGAGTAAGATGGGACAACTCATCGCAAGGTAAGGTACAAATGTCTCGAATTGTCGTTGCGGATCATTTACGTCAAGCTGCACGAGATTAGCACATATATAATGGTGATGATCAAAAGGAGTATATACCCAACAAGCCAAGTTATTGATGTAGTGATGGAGGAGGCGGGCTATCAGCGGATCTCCAAGCGGCTCAGCTGGACCTTGTGTATATATAGCAGACCCAGAGGTCCGTCTAAGGATAAGTGATTTCACAGGATCAATGGTTTCCATGCTAGTGCCGCTAGTAAATGAATGAGGCGACGCAAAGTTAGCAGCCTCACGAGACGGTCCAGGAGTTAAGATCGGAACCATATCGTCCCTTCCCGAGTCTAGTACATGAATACTGGGCGATAGTTCTGCAGTTTTATTTAGCATGCAATATTGTATGGGATGAGACAATCTTCATTACCATTTGTTGGTTGATCGAGCATTTTGTTGATTGACGATTGGTTGGTCGCGTGTCTACGCGTCGGTGCATTCAATGGCTGGTCTTCATTGTCGTCATCGGCGACATCGACAGAATGAATAAACGTAACTGACTTAAATCAGTACAAACAACTCTTCGAGATTGGTGCAGACAACGAGTGCTTACTCTCCGACGGTGTCTCTAGCCAGACGTGATCTGCTGAGAACTGGAATAGCCCATTGCCGTCCTCCCGCAGGGCGGAATTGTCGAGAGCCTCATATTCGCAAACACGGCGACTGATTTCGCAGTGCCGACATTGAGGTTTCCGTTCATCGCCTTGATCGTGTTAGTAATTACGACAAGCACAATTGTAGCCCAATATAAACCAACACTTCATATGTCGCTTCCGACATGTAATACTTGTCAATGCAAGCTGTAATTAGCATCGTTGAAGACATGTTTATCGCATTGTCATTTAGCTCACCAGCCTAGAGGGGGATTAGCACCCTTATATATGCTTAAGTAGGTGGCGGGATTCTCACCAGTTCTGACCCGCCTGTGAACCTCTTGCGCTGGCGCCATGATTGCAACACCCCGGCGACGGTCAACGTCGAGGATGCTGTATCATGATTGTAGGGATTACAACCAATCATGGGCTGCTGTACATTCTAATAACACGTATGACCAAGAAATTGCATGTAACATGGAGAGACAGCTGAGAAATTGCGGGGGAAGCTGGTGATGGAAACTAAGATTAGTACTGGCCCACGTGATCCAATAGTCGGACTGTGAAATGAGATTCTAACCAGAGAATACGATCTTCAATTTTGTGCATTTTTACACTTTGTATCTGTGATTGTATTCTCGTACGCGATGCATCATGTGAAGTGCCCGCCGACTCGCAAATTGCGAGGCAATTGATGAATCAGAATTAGCATTAGAAACTAACTGGGAGACACTGTTATGAACTCATTATTTGTAAAAACACTCGTATAATCATTAAAAGATCCTTCGGTTGCCCTTCTCAAGCATCGCTTCCATTATCTTGAACATGTGTGATGGTTCCATCATGTGCGACGCTAATGTTCTTCTTCTCAAGACTTGCTTTAACAGGGTTCTTTGCTTGGAACAGGTCTTCAATTTCTTCCAAGCTCCAGCCCCTCGTTTCAACGAAGAAGAAATAAATGACGACGACGCCAAACGCGTCCCAAAAGACGTAAAGGAGGTAATATCTCCAGCCGGCATTGGCGATGGCAATTGGTGGAACGTACGTGTTCATGACCTTGACGGCATTGTTCATAAATGCCAAATAAGCCATGCCCTTTGCTCTGGAATTGAAAGAGAGAACCTCGACCGGGTAGAGCGATTGCATTGGAGTCTATCGAAAAGCAGAAATAGTTAGCGACATCTCTGGGAACTCGGAGAGCGGAGACATACCCAGGCAAAAGCGAAAACGATGAGGAAAATGTACAGAAAGGCGATGCCAGTCCCGCCGACGGCAGGTCTCCCCGCCTGTAGAGCAGTGCACGCCGTTATGATTGCAATGGACACCGACATTCCAGCACTGGAAAACATGAGAAGTTTGCGGCGACCAAATTTATGCACAACACTAAGTCCACAGAGTGCGGCAGCCGCCATGACTGGAGTTTGGATCGCGTTTAAGAGCAGCTGGGTATTGACATCCGTGATACCCACCGTCTTGACTATATTATTCATGTTAGAACCAAGTATGATCTGGCAGATGACTGTATTATATCAGGAAAAACATACCCATTAGCGGGAAGTAATAACTCGTCGGCGGCAAGTCGAGTTCTCCGAACCAGGCGATGCAAGTAACGAGAAAGGTCCGATACCGTGCTGCTCTGGTGTTAAATAGCGACCTAAAATCCCACCACCGTTTATCGGAACCATCAAGTTCAATGACTTCGATCATCTCTTGTAGTTCGAGATTCGCGACAAGAGCATCTGGGTCTCCATCACCATGATACTTGATGAGAATACTTTTAGCTTCAGCTATTCGTCCTTGACCCACGTACCTATCATCTTTGTTAGCATTATTCCATAGAGATATAGGAAACAAAGGTTGCTGTGCATACCATCGGGGGCTTTCAGGGATAAACCAAACGGCACATAAGATAATGACAGATGGTAGACCCTGGATCGCAAGAGGAAGTCTCCAAGGATACGAAAGTGTAGTTTTGGCATGATTCAATCCATATTCCAGCCAAGTTGACACTATGGTACCAAGGAAAAAGCAAGCTTGATAACCACCGGTAAGTTGGGCACGATATTTGGGATAAGACATTTCCACGACATAACTGGGACCAGCTGTTTGAACAAGCACTGCACCCATGCCTAGAATGAATCGGCCTCCCATGAGCATGGACAAATTTGTACCAGCAGTCTGGAGAATGGCACCAACCACGCAGATGGCCGATCCAATAGCCATGCCTACACGGCGGCCATATGTGTCGGAGCAAGGCCCAGCAAAGAAAGAGCCTGCTATGTTGCCTATGACATATAGAGCTGCAACAAGGCCTTGATTATGGGTGTCGATGCCAAAGTATTTAGTAAACTGAGGGATAGCCGATAAGCCTCCTACGGCGGCATTAGCAAAGGGATGCAATGATGTTGTCATCACATTGTAAACTCACCAAAAGTGTTGGAGTCGAATCCATTTGTTGCTGAACACAAGTATCCAACAAAAATGCATCCGTACAATTTCAAAAAGCTCTTTCGAAATACGCGAGGGTTCTCTCTTAGCAAGGCAGCTTGCATGCGTGACTCTGTCATGCAACTCTGCGTCGTGACTTTGATAGGATCCGGGTCCTCATCATGAATAACATCATGAACAATGTCATGTTGGTTCATTGCCTTTGGGCTATCCATGATGGAGGAAGTAAGCCTGGTCAAGGCCTCCTATGACATTAAATTAAGCTGAAATTCGGCATTGATCTGCCCGTCTCGGTGAAGAGGGGCCATGCAGTTATATGCAAGTTCCACCTCTTACTACTAGCCCCCGAAATGCATGGCTCCCCCACAGCTTAGCATGGCTTCCCCAGGAACTGCTACCGGGAAATCCAGATCATTTCCCCAGAAGCAATACTTTAGATCTCCTTCTCCGCACTTTCATAGTCATATTTTCTCCACTCACGGGGACATGCGATCAGACGTTGTTCACGAGAGATTGGGAATGAAGCTTCGGCAATATCCAAGTTTTGGAGATAAGCGATGTGGCTACGAGCATCATTACTGCTTTGACTTCTGAGTATTGAACCCCCTCTTGCTAAATCCTCCATTCAGCCGCTTTGTTTGCCGATCACCTGATCGGCTAAACCATCATTTTGGGCAGACCAAGGACGCAAACCGCATATGTTACCTACATATACAAGCAGTACGTCAGTCTACGATTCATGCAACATTTATTAGCCGTTCACCATCATCAACTTAAATTGTAGCTTACATATATAGAAACATATAAATTGCCTATATAATTTGTCAACTGCACAGGAGCGGTGCTTCCCTCGGGAAACATAGCTCCGTTACCCCTCCATGAGGTTTGACTGGAACCTTGAGTGGTGTGTTGACGAGCGGAGACATTCCCATCCTTTTTAAAGTACCTATATCTCTATGTGTGTGTATGGATAAACCATCATATCAATTGTTTAGTGTTTGTCTGGAGGTAGAGTTATACCCACTGCCTTTTCTCTATTTGCTGTTTCGGTGGACACCCCTCAGATTCGTTGTCAACAGTTCATCCATTTCGAATAAATACATGCGTATTACATCTTAGCTCTATTGTATTACACAACAGTCAATAGTTTATCTGTAAATTCCCACCAAAACGAAGAAGACAGAGTTCGTCTTAGTATAGTTCTACTTTGCCCCCGCCAGAGCACATGCTCTCTATAATTGCCAGATCGTTCAGTGCTTCTTCTGGGCCCGCCTTCTTTTGCGACTTCCCGGTTTTAACAGCCTCTAGGAATGCTTTAATTTCCAGTTCCACCCCTTTACTCCGTATTATCTCTGATCTACTCTCTCCTGTCGCAAGATCCAGAGACAGTACGAAACCATCGGGGCCATCAGTCAGGAAGAAGCTGCCCTTTGATCCGATAATAGTAAGCTCCGAAGCTCGTCGTGTTGATGCAAACGACATTGAGATGGTCCCAGTTCCTCCACCACTCAAGAGGATGCCGGCATTGAGAGTATCGAGAGGCGGTAAATGGGGCAAAACCTGACGGGCAAAACCTGCTGTCTCAACAACCTCTTGGCCTGAAATGTAGCGAAGCATAGCAGTTTGATGGACTCCACCGTCAAGTAAGAAGCCGCCCTGATATTCCGGCACTTTTCGCCACGGCGTTTCGTACCATTTCCCCTCGGGAGGTTGATTGCGCCATATTTTGAGGTGCGCCTGGGTAATATCACCGACTGCTTTTTCTTCAACGATCCATTTTCGACCAAGTTCAAACTCGTGCATAAATCTAAATTGCTCAGCAATGTTGAAAATGGGTCCTTTGCTTGCGTACAGCTTGTTGTAGTCCTCGATTAATTCGCGAGCAGTTGCGACATCTTTGGCGATTGGCTTTTCGCAAAGTACATGCTTCCCGGCAGCTAAGCAGCGCCTGACAATTGACGGTTGCACCAGAATTGGTAAGACAATGATCACCGCTTCAATATCGCTGCGCTTAAGAAGATCATCGAGCGTGTGCCCAGAGGTGTCTTCTGAGTAAAGCTCAAGATCAGTAACACCGAGTTTGCTTGCTTCTGCTACAAGTGTAGATGCAGTAGATTTGGAACGGGAATAGACTGCCTTGATGTTCGCCTTGTTTAGCACAAGCGCGGGCAGGTGTTCTGGTGAGCGAGTTAGTGTCATGTACGCTTATTACCCTTGCCAACAGCCAGAGGCAGTTTATTACCTTCTGTAGCAAAAATGCCAGCTCCTAAAATTGCAATACCCGCCATTACGCAAATCTCAATGAGCCTTTATCCCGATTCCGTAGAGTGTGTGTGAGCTTATTCAGGGCCGTGAAGGAAAAAGCATAAAACACCAAGAGAGAGAGATGGTATTATAGGTATGTATTGGCGGGGGAGGCATATATATTGCGCGCTAGGCTTGGCACAATATTAAAGAAATCTACATCACCTGTGACATGTTCCTCGTACTCTATACTTGCTTCCTTATATACGAGGATGAGGTCCTCCGGCTATTGTCAAATTCGGATTACCCGAGACTCATTAGCACGGAATTCACGTTATCAGGCGATCTTACCCGGCTGGCGGTTGAACCAACCAAGGCGAGCTACGGAGTATTTGCGGATTGTTTGTCCCCGAATGTAGCAAAGCAAGACGCCTGAATTAGCCCGAACGACGAGTAGGAGGGTAGAAAAGCCATTAGTTCAGCATTCAACAGGCGTTTAGACGAAAGAAAGAAGGAATCGAACCGAAGTCTAGCTAGACCAGACACCACTTCTGCCACCTACTATCACACCCAAATATTTCCACGTGTTCTAGTGGCCCAAGTATGCTCAATAGACCAATACTTTTGCACGAGGCTTGCAAAGTGACAAACGATTATCCTGCGCTATTTAGTTCCGGGGCATTGTCCCCCATACTTCGTTGTCTGTTCATCCAATCTCACCATTGTGGCCAGCTGTAGACGGTCACTACCCCGCATTTCGCAATGGTTAAATGCGACAGACAGCCAAATACATGAGATAAGCGACATTGGGGGTCAGAGAGTCACCATTCACGTGAAGTAATATCCAACCTAAAGAAGATGGGGAAGTTAGTAGTACTAGCAACTTGAGTTATGTTTCACAAAGGGATGTTCGTTGAGAGGTTGGTAAGTATGTCTGCTGGAAGAATGGTGGTTTTCGCAGGTTTGTACGGGGTGCACAGGGCTTATCCATCGTACAACTACTACCTAACGTCTACTGCTAGCAAAAGTTGTTGAGAGGACGTGACGGCGCAACATTTTATTACTAGGGTCCAATTACCAATATTTTCTGCTGGTATCATGAATCACGAACCATTTTTTTTACCTAAGTAAGGAAAGCTAGATATGTACAACTGAATGAAATGCCTTGGTGAAGTCGAACGCCACTAGAAGACATGATTATTAAACGTGCGTCTTCTTCAGTTGTTTCACAACATCAGCGATAAACTAGATTGTATCGTTAACATTACAAATGGGTCGAGTTGTCATAGTTTATAGAAGCACTTGATGCATTTGTCAGAATAGAACGGATTTTCATCAAAAACTTTGTGAACGGAATCAACTTCTTTCCTCAATTTGGAAATCAGTAGCCTTGCAGATCGCCTACGTATTAGCGCTATACTCATTATAGACAGCAGTACCCTTGTAAAGTAGTCACTTAGTGGTAGAGAAAACTAATCATTATTTTGAACAGAAGATAACTACTAGCAACCAGACAACTAACATAGAGAGAAACAGAGATATATATAATCGGACCACCGGTGTCATGATGGTAAAGGAATCACCAATTTACCTCACCGTTTCTTCTCCCAGAATTCTTCATCTTATGCCTCCATTGTGCTCTTTTATCACATCATAAGTCCTAGATCTATAATTCCCCCATCGACAACTTCAAGCTTGACATTTGTGTTCCTCTCTACCAGAATAAGGCTGTTGACTGATACTTGTTTCAAAACCTCATAGTCAAACAGAAAGAGAATTGCAATCAGGGCCTATTGGCACGACTAGAAACATGGCTTCAGTGCGATCCAATATACTTGATACGATCGGAAATACTTCCATGATACAGCTTCATAATGTTGTCCCTTCAAACGGAGTTCGCATTCTTCTAAAAATCGAAAGCAGCAATCCAACTGGCAGTATGAAAGATCGTATGGCTCTTGCAATGATTACTGCCGCCGAAAAGGATGGCCGTCTTAAACCAGGCGGTGCTGTTGTTGAATACACTGGTGGCAGCACAGGAGTTTCGCTGGCATTGATTTGCTCCGTCAAGAAATATTCGCTTCATCTAGTAACATCGGATGCCTTTGCGAAAGAGAAGCTTGATCACATGAGGCTCCTCGGCGCCAACTTGACCATTATACCAAGTGATAATGGCAAGCAAACTGAGAAGCTGACCAAGGACATGATTCGGGAGGCAAAATCTATAGCCGCCAAAACGGGAGCATATATCACTGCTCAGATGGACAACACCGACCAGCTATCCGCTTATACGAAACTCACAGATGAGATTTATGAACAAGCCGAGGGCCGCATCGACGCCTTTGTGCAGAGCGTCGGATCAGGAGCTGCTCTTCGAGGTATATCAGAACGCCTTCGCCAGCTTGACAATAACATCCGCTTCGTCGCCGTTGAGCCAGCGGAATCTGCTGTACTATCGGGCGGTCCGTCAGGATCTCACAATATTGATGGTATAGGAGCTGGATATGTTGTACCATTATGGTATGAAGGTATCGCAGATGGATTCCAGGGAGTGTCGACGGCAGATGCAAGGGCCATGGCATTTCGGTTGTCTCGTGAAGAAGGTTTATTCTGCGGGCTTTCAACGGGAGCCAACGTGACGGCCGCATTGCGTGTAGCAGAAGGTCTCAAACCTGGGTCTACTGTTGTGGCCATTATGTGCGATTCAGGCATGAAGTATATGTCGGGATTTTCTCAACATCTGGAGCCTCTCCAGAAATGATGTATTTAGAATACTCCTCTGATAGAAGTCGCAAATACGAGGTACATCTTTAAAATTGTGCAGCAAGTAAAAGAGCATACTTGTGATCGAGCTCCCGGCTTTTGAAGAACGTACTTAAGCTGGTGTCTCATGCATATTAATCACGTGTTCCCCTGAATGCGTTACATAGAGGAGCTTAAATCTACTATAAACTATTAAATGCTCTCAACTCATTGAGCTAAAATTCGCAACCTGGTGCCAGCCCTTCAAGCCTTCACAGATCATTCTCTAATCTCCACATCCACATCTGCCGAAGATGCCCTTATAAAATAATATGGACTAAACGTTTTTAGACATGAAAATTGATTCAAACAGGTAAATAATATAGGCTAGCCATGATCTAGTATTTTATTTACACTAGGTATGTTGCTGGCAGTGATGCGAAAAGTACAATGCTCAGTGGGTATAGGTACGGTGTGGGTAAAGTTTTTAAGGGGCACCTTTCCATCTAGCAGTAGCAAATGGCCGATGAAAATTGCTACTTATATTGCCTAAAATGGTAAATGCCTTTTGTGGGTAAGCGAATCTGGATCAGGCACACAGCATACGCGTAGGCTTCAACACGATATAACCGCGGATAGTATTCCTTAGGGTTGCAATGTAAAAATTACAATCTCCACTGCTCATAGATATAGAAAGCACATTCTCTAGAACACTTGTCTCCATACATTTACCCAATATGATTCGAAATACTGATATATGAAACCTTCTTAATTACTCTACAAAGCCCGCCAATTGAGATAAGGCTTTCTAGCGAGGCCAGAAAGTTTGTGAATCTATTGATAGCTAATCAGGATCGGAAGTTCATTCTCCTAATTAGCTGGCTATCAGTTGAAGATCTCTTTCATTTATTTTATATTTATTTTATAAAGAATGACCACCCCATGGCCAATTGGTCATTGGGCTGATATAAAATTAGAAATGACAAACACAGAAGAGGAAGACCAGCAAGTACAAATAAAAAATAGTGATAATGATGTAGATTGGCGGAATAGTAGCTCTCCGAAGCCAACATTTAATGCAAAATAAATATTAATGGTTAATTTCTTCCTAGTATTTACACAATGAGCATGTGAAACTTCTAGAATGAGATATTTTAGGGATTGGTAATGAGCTTGTTACACAATATGTGGATTCATTGAATGTGGATTGATTTGACCTCACGCGGAAAATACGGTATGACTTTGTAAGCAGACACGTGTTTGCGCATAATGCCTGTAACATGTGGGAATTTGATGGCCACGATGCATACCCTTTTGAGTATGCGACTCCAGGGTGTTTCGTACTTCGATGGCAATCATGCACATATTACCAATTCCACGATTCGTAGTCCTCGATTGAGTAATCAATGCATACTATCGAGTTCGAAAGTTTACTTCCTATCACTGATTCATAGGGGTTTATCTCTGCTCTATAAAAGGTTTAACGATGGCGGGCGTTACTTAGGAAGGACGAGAGCATCAACCCTTTATTTTTTTAATAAAAAAAAAATTGCAGCAAAACATCAGCCACAATACGAAATTGGATAGCTGTGGATACTTGATTCATCATGCCTTATGAGCGCTATGGAACGAAGGGGGCTGATCCATCACCCTTGGGTCAGCCCATTACCTTCTCTCCTTCTGGACGCACAGCCCTCAATCGATTCATGAAAAGTCCTATGGCTGAAGGACTCGCTACATGGGATCCCAAAGTACCCCATTTACGAGGCGAGCCAACTAAGGACTTGATTGAGCTATATCGCCGGTATGAACATACTTGTTAGGTAGACTAGGCTGTTACGACTGCTAATATGAGTTGAATCTAGATGGGGAGAGGGTGGATGGGGCATGATTGTAACCGGCAACATCGATACTTCTTTTGATGCTTTAGATGACATTGGCGATATGATCATCACTCCCAAATGCGAATTTCGTGGGCCTCGTTTTGAGAAATTTCAAGAACTAGCTAAAGGAGCCAAGGCCCATGGGAGCTTCATCCTTGGCCAGATTAGTCATCCAGGAAGACAGGTTCAATATCGTTTGAACAAAGAAGCCATATCCGCGTCAGATGTGCAACTTGGTAAGAAGAAATGCCCTAGACTTTATTAGGTGCCTGATAATTGACCAAAAAATAGAGCCAAAGATGGACATGATGTTTGGAAACCCTCACGCTGCTAGTAAGGCAGAGATAGATGAAATAGTTGAGGGTTTCGCATATGCTGCCGAGTACCTGGAGAAGGCTGGCTTCGATGGAGTTGAACTTCACGGAGCACACGGTTACCTCATCTCACAGTTCTTATCTAGACGAACAAACAAGCGAACGGACGAATATGGAACTCAGACAGTCGAGAACCGCCTGCGCTTTATCACTGATATTGCTAGAGCTATCCGGAAACGTGTTTCGCCTCATTTCATCGTCGCATCCAAACTCAACAGCGTGGAATTCCAAGACGCAGGAGTAACGGCGGAAGAAGCTCAAGAAGTTTGCATATGCCTCGAGCGAGAGGGGTTTGACTTTGTGGAGTTGAGCGGAGGTAACTACGAGAGTTTCGGTCTAAAATGGGAAAAAGAATCGACACAAAAGCGAGAAGGGTTCTTTCTAAAGTTTGCCAAGATCATCAGTGAGGGCCTGAGCGACGACAGCAAGCTCAAGCTATATTTGGTTGGCGGTCTTCGGACAACTGCTGCAATGCTTGAAGTATTAAACATCGTTGACGGGGTTTCGTTTGCAAGACCAGCGGCAGCAGAACCCGATTTTCCGCTCAAGGTATTGAAAGAGGGCGTTACAGGGTCTATTAAGCCAGTGGACGGCTACGATAGCATTGGTGGCAACTTTGCTGTTGATCTCGGCATAGCAAAGGCGCAACTTACCCAAACTGCTCGTGGTTATGAGCCAATCGACTTGAGTGACGGAGAGGTTGTGAAACGTTTCCAGGAAGATATAGACAACTGGTGGAAGAATGTGGTGGCTGATGGTGATAAGCTTGAGTATATACGTGCGCCTGAATACTCGGGCCCACTGAAGCTACACGAATAGGCAACTTTAAGTACATACTTTGTAAACACAATATGGCAGAACAAATACAGTCTGGTTTCATTAACGTCGTTGTATATTGAGTAATTACTTTTTGTTTTTTTAAAAAGATTATTGCGCCAAACCAATGAATACACTTTTTCCTGTCTTTTATTCTTTCACTTCTGCTTTCTCTCAACCTTAAAGGCCACTGGATCTCTGATGCTCCCCGGATGTTACATCTGTCATTCCGACGGCACTAATAGCTGGGTGACAACATTGCCGATCTTCATATGTCACACAACGGAAATTAAACTAATGCGAGCCCCAATGTTTACTCTAATACTTAATTCTAATCAGCTATGTTCACGTTTCTCCAAATCTGCAGTCATGTTGCTCTCAAAGCGGATTGGTTTGCCGTTCCGTCGGATGATACCAGACCCACACCACCAGTCCAGTCTCCCCTCACGATCACATCAAAGTCAAACGAGGAAGTCCCCAAGCATCAAAGCTGCGAGCCAGAAGGTAAATACGAGAGTAGAGTGCGAGTTCCGACATTCAGGCAGAATAAACTTGTATGATTTTCGTCACCTTGCCTTTTTAATACCTGAAAGAGGGAATCCCCCGCAAAGACTTGATCAACGAAACCTGTTTTTACCTAATGTGAGAGAGATCAGCAGTGATATTTCCCCCTAGAACATTGCACCAAACTCTGATGTTCAATTTATTAGAAGAGATTTAATATCCGTGAAATGGCAGCACTTAAAATAGGCTAAATAGAAACATTCCGTTCTGGTGAATCAGTAAATCATCATGTGTCTAAGTGGTTAACCAACTCGAGAGACTCAAAGTTATATAAAGTTGAGACTGTAGCTAAACAAACAAAAGCGACTGGACAGAAAACCTCAATCATTATCCTTTGCTTATTAGTCTCTTTATTCTCGAGATGAGGATATCCTCATTGACAACTTTTGTAGAGTTATCTCTATTTCCAACGGTTTACTCTTTGTTTCCCAACAATGAGATTCCGTTTCCAGATTGTTCTCAACCTCCTTTGAGTCAAAATGGCATCTGTGATACAAGCCTCAGCACAGAAGCCAGAGCAGCAGCCCTAGTTGCTGAGCTCACATTGGATGAGAAGGCCGCAAATTTGGTCAACAATGCACCCGGCGTTGAACGTCTTGGCCTTCCTCCTTATGAATGGTGGAACGAAGCCCTCCATGGACTTGCTGGAGTTTCTCCAGGTCAGGGAATCAACAGTACTTTCACTCAGGGAAATGTTGCATTCAATTCGTCCACTCAGTTTCCATCTCCCATGGTTCTTGGAGCGGCATTCGATGACCAACTTGTCCACGATATTGCAACAGCGGTCAGTACAGAAGCGCGAGCTTTCAGCAATCATTTGAAGGCCGGTTTGGACTACTGGGCTCCAAACATTAATCCCTATAGGGATCCCCAATGGGGCCGCGGTCAAGAAACACCCGGAGAAGATCCCTATCATGTTGCACAGTATGCATATAATTATGTCGTGGGATTACAAGGCGGCATCGGCCCAGCCAAACCCAAGGTCGTCTCAACATGCAAGCACTTTGCTGGCTACGACATTGAAGATTCCGATGGAGTGGTTCGCGGTTCATACAACGCCATTATAAGCACTCAGGATTTGGCCGAATACTACCTCCCCAGTTTTCGGTCTTGCTTCCGTGATGCTAAGGCCGGAGCCGTCATGTGCAGCTACAATGCCGTCAATGGACATCCTTCGTGCGCCAATTCTTATATGTTGGAAACTGTGCTACGCGATCATTGGGGCTGGAATAGCTCCGCTCATTGGGTAACCGGAGACTGTGGTGCAGTAGATGGGGTCTTCAACCAGCACCACGTCGGTCAATCTGATGCCCAAGGAGTCGCCCTTGCGCTCAACAATGGCACAGACTTGGACTGTGGAACAGCGTATTCTTCATATATCGCATCGGCCATTCAGAGCAACTATACTACAGAAGCTCAGCTTGACCAAGCTCTGGGTCGCCTTTACGGCTCTCTTATTGTCCTGGGGTACTTTGATCCACCCGAAGGTCAAGACTATCGAACTCTAGGAGCTTCCGACGTGAATACGCCAGCTACGCAGAAGCTTGCTTACACAGCACTTGTCGAAGGCATTACTCTTTTGAAGAACGATGACAATATCCTACCTATCCGCCCAACGGGCCAGACGGTTTTATTTGTCGGACCTTGGGCTAACAATGCTTCTGTATCAATGTTCGGCAATTACAATGGGGTTGCTCCTTATAAGACTATTCCCGTTCCGACCGCAAATAGCTCTTCATACAACTGGAAAGTAACATATTCGCAAGGATTGCAGTATGTTCTGTCAAATGATACGTCACAGTTTGCCGCTGCAGTCAGTGCTGCCCAAGAAGCCGATGTAGTGGTATACATTGGTGGAATTGACGAGCAGGTTGAAGCCGAGGCTCATGATCGAACCTCCATCGACTGGCCCGGAGCGCAGTTGGATCTTATTCAACAGCTAGCAGCAGTGAAGCCTGTCGTCGTCGTTCAAGTGGGCGGTGGCCAAATCGATGATTCCTCTCTTTTACAGAATGGCAACGTAAAGGGTCTGCTCTGGATGGGTTATCCCGGCCAAGAATTCGGACCGGGGTTGATTGACATACTTAGCGGCGTTGCCGCGCCAGCTGGACGGCTACCTGTTACACAATATCCTGCGGACTATATCAACCAAGTCCCAATGACAGATCAGTCTTTGCGGCCAAGCTCATCCAACCCTGGCAGAACATATCGATGGTATAACGGCTCGGTGATACCTTTTGGCACGGGCCTGCATTACACAGAGTTCAATGTCTCATGGGCAACAGGAGGCAGTGGCAAAGGAACATATGATACAGCTGATTTCACCGATGTGGAGGATCCAAAAGACTTGGCCGAATTTGACACCTTTCAAATTAACGTAGAGAACATAGGTTCAACGGCTTCAGACTACGTAGCGCTACTCTTTTTAAAGAGTACAGATTCCGGACCTCAGCCATATCCCCTGAAGACTTTGGTAGCTTATGCTCGCGCTCATAACGTTCAGCCTGGTGCGACGACAACCCTCGACCTGAAAGTCAATGTCGGACAAATTGCACGCAATGACGCCAACGGAAATCTTGTTCTGTACCCCGGCACATACACACTACAAGTTGACTTAGAGAATCTCAGTGGGCCAACAGCAGAATTCCAGGTTCAAGGAGCAGAAACTGTGTTGGACCAATTCCCTCAGCCATAGAACATTGAGCTTGAACCGTTATTAGCTCGACGTTCCAATACACAGATCCTAGCAGACTGCAGCGATTTATAGTCATTGTAGAGCATATTGAATATTTCAATCAAGTTCTTCCTTTCCAATATTTTCTTCCATCTTACCCCTGAGTACGCTGTAGAGTTTGCTTATGATCAATCAAGGAGGAGGATTTAGTTGAGACGTGTCACGCCAATCGAGCTAAACCAGACAATGCTGCGGGCATGTACAAAAGCGGAGGCGGATAGCAATTTTATTTATCATTGTCGTGATTTTTTATTAGGATATACGAGTTGCCCCAATGAAATAGTCCATTTGGGGGATTTTCTTCCTTGAGTCGTGTTTTGATACCCCTAACGGGGTACTGATACGAAGTGGTCGATGTCCGCTTTAATACGAGCTGAGACAACAGCTGCGCTCCCAACTGGGCTAACTGGGCTAACGAACGGCTTCACCGTAACTCAACTCGCGACATCGTGTCGACCATAAGGCATCAACTCTAGCGGTGCCATAAAGGAGAAGTCAACTAGACCTCGTATACGACTATTCTAGCTATACGAGACCTTTTTTGCTATCATGTTACATCCCTAGTATTCGGCATATTCCATGACATGTGGTTCCATGTGCGTAGTCCAAGTTGCAGTCTTTCGTAACGGTTGGCCAATGTTTCAATAGTTGCACCTTCATGTACTTAGTGCGCATCCTCACTCGTCTATTCCTGGCAAGAGGTACTATTGAGGTGCGTTGCAGAAAAGAGGATAATATTGACTAGAATTTAGAATATGATATTAGAACAACTAGTGGACAGGTATATCCAACGGTCAACTAAATAAATTTTAATATAACTCACAACTGCATTCCTTCTCAATAGTGTAAATGGACGCTCTTGAGCACAGGATGATCTCCCGGATTGGGGTTATTTAAGTTTCCCTTAAGAAAAGTAGTTCCCATTTGAGATGAGGGAAAAAAGATAATCCATTTAGCTTAAGCAGCCTTTATCATTTCTAGTACTAGCAGATGACTATGGGACGGTGATGTCCCACAAGTAAGCTACATTCATTCCACCAAAAAAATTCAGGCCTCCAAAAAAAAAGAAACTCCAGTCCTCATCCATCCGCCACGATACTGTGGACAACAACAACACAATATACCTTGGAAGCCCTAGATTGATTTAAATGCTAACTTACTATCCCTCAAATTTTTTATTAACAGAAAGAATGCGCAAAGGAGAATAAAATTTCGTAGTAGTGACATCCGTTACCCTGTATTAAGTGCTAGTATCAGTCTCACCCCTTTAGATGAAGCAACTGCTTTGTTGAGCGTTCTATCGGTGTCACATTCATCCACATCCGCCTAATATCACCCACAAAGGGCAAGATTGACGGCGTCGCTTCTCTTTGGTGCCACGTTATTCCTCCGGAGTTGGTCGCGCGAATCACCCGTTGCAGTAATAGAGAGTAAGCAGTCACTTGGCTTAGACAATCCTCACAAATACACTAGCAGTGGCCGCAGCAAAAGTTGCCCACATTGGCGATGGTGCGGCTGCAGTTGGGCTTTCCATATATATTATTGCTGACCAACCTTCGTTTCGTTGCAAATGAGCGCCCAGTCATCGCCATCGACGTGGTCAGCGACTAACTGCGAGCACAGCCTGTTCCTCTACTCTGTAGGAAGCACGGCGGCTGCGATAGTTGACTATTTGGCTACCAAAGGAAGCGCCAAGCACGATGCCAAGCTGTAGAGAAAGGCCTGGTCCCTTGTGAAGGCCAAGAGATGAATAATACTCGTAGTGCTCGTACGTCTTACTACGGAGCATGAAGTATCTCTCAGACTGCCATGGCCCTGTGAAATTCGGCTTGTGGGGCCTGCGCTATATTTCAAAAAGGCCGTCTTTTCCGTATTACCTGGAGTACGAGCACTGTGGCTCCGTGCTTGGTGCATACATGTGCTGTACGAGTATTCGACGCTTCTTCGAGAATCACAGTGACCGGGCGATGATTCCAAAGCTTAGACGACGACTGACTTTGCGCTGGCGGTAACGTTAACTCAACTCAGACTCTAGTGTGCATCTTTGAGCCGATCGTCAGGCACGAGGCGGCTCCGAATGAACCAAATGTGGCTGATTGTCTCGTCCGTGATGCTCAGCCTCACGCCGGCACGGAGCGTTTCTTCGCGCCAAGAGCAAATCTCACCGCTGATTGATGCGTTAAATGGAGTTTGCAAGAAAGCTACCCCTGCAGATGCCTAGCTTGGGCTGAAATTAGCAGCGGACGGAGCCTTGACGGTTAGACTAAGGAAGGACGGTGTCGGATATACTTCGCAGCGAAGAGCGGAGAGAGGCAGAAAAAGAAGCTGGTGGGACTTGTGCTGAGTTTTGTCATGGCGACCCCTGGCCTCTCCATCAACCCAAGAGCGTTTCCGAGATATTTTCAGACCTTGGTCAGGCAGTAACGCAGCAACACTTCCCCGTACGAGTACAGGCCAACTGTCCCTTGACGATGGAGTTTGAGGACGGGCACCTGTAGAAAGCGCATGTATGCTCGGACGTGAATCTTTGGAGTAATTCTACTGCTTTGTGGCTGTTCCCAGCGCGGTCAAATCCAGTATTTGCAAGTCTTCGCTGCCATACTGTTTATATAAAGCATATTGCCCGCGTGGATGAGGCCAGTGAAGCCAAACTTGCATAGCAAAGATTAAAATTAGCATAGGGGAGCTGCTAAGGGTTTTGGCTGGGCTTTTGGAAAACACGAATAGCTCGTAAACCTCTCGGCCAGGTCACAGGATTAGGCCTAGCTCTCAACCTGGACCTATCACACACCCTAGGCATAAGCGTCTTGAGGCTCTAGTGCCCAGGGTCCAAGATGTCTACAAGTAGATTGGTGCAGGGCTGGATGGATTCCTATCCCTGGTATGAACTATTGATAGCGCAAAGCAGTAAGCTGCAGTTGAGTGAAGCCACGAAGGAACTAGGTTATCGCCTGTCGCATACAAAATATGACCAGAAAAGGAAGATGGAGTCACGGCTGAGCCATGAAATATCTAAATATATAATCATATTACTACCACTATATATCTAGCGGCTTTCCCATGCATATGGCTCCATGCCCCCCAGAATTACAGATATACTAGGATAGCAGCAGCCCTAAATCCTGTGAAGCACCGTCTATTCATCCATTCTTTCCTTCTTCTTTCGGGTAGCTACACTTTATTCCAACTTCGATCATTCATCATGGTCAAGGTAAGAAAGACTCTAAGGGCTTCCAAGGTATGGCTGTACTAACTAAAAGTTCCAGCTCTCAGTCTCTTCGCTTGTAGCGGGTGCAGCCCTCGCAGCCGCTCTTCCCTCATACCTGACTTCTCTTACCGGCCTTTCTCCTCGTTCTCCCAACAGTGGTCAAATCACAGCTCGTGCGACTGGAGGAAAGGTCACCAACAAGAATCTTGCCCGCTTTGATAATAGCAACATCGAGGACGGCGTAGGCAATGGAACTGACTGGTATCATCTCTATCTTGGCAACGGATCTGTCGCTGCCGGATGGCCCTCCAAAGATAAATGGGTTTCATTTGAGTCCATGTAAGTCTTGATTCATGCAATAATAGCATGGCCAGCAAGTTAACACTAGAACAGGTTCGAAAACTACAAGCTCCAAATGTACGTCGCCTGTCAATATCTGAACTGGCGACTTCCCAACAATGATATCGATGAAGTGGTACGTTGGCAGTCTAAACTTGCCCAATAATCTCATCTAATCGTTGTAAACTGCAGCAAGCTATCTGGGACGGCATTCAAACCGCATCTGATGCTACCGGAGTCGACCATCGCCTTATTTTGGCTATTATTATGCAAGAGTCTCATGGTTGCGTGCGAGTGAATACGACCGATCTCGGCGTCCGCAACCCTGGCGTTATGCAAAACCACAACGGCAAAGCCTCTTGCAATGATAACAAGAAACTTACAACACCATGCCCGGCAGCGACAATTCACGAAATGATTAGGGAGGGTACTGCTGGCACCACCTCGGGTGATGGTCTCGCTCACTGCATCAACCTGTCTGGCAATGGTGATGTTTCTGACTACTACCGCGCTGCTCGCATCTATAACTCTGGTTCCCTCTCAAAGACTGGTAACTTGCAGAGCAACATCGCTACTCATTGCTATGCCAGCGATATCGCCAAGTAAGTTCATATTGAAGGCATCACTTGGACCATCGAGGTAACTAACAGAGATATAGTCGTCTTACTGGCTGGGTCTACGCACCATCAGCCTGTACGTGTGACGATGACCCTAAGAGCTGTGGCGTTTCAAACAACTAATTTTTTTTTTCCGGCTTCATTATTGTTATTATCATTATTATTTTCCTTTACTGTCATATTTTACGACGGGAAGTCGGGTGGCCATCATATACCCAAGCGTTGATATTTAAAAGTTTTCGGCTCGGCGATTGTTTATCGCAGCCATGGTTATAAACAGATAGAAGAACCATAAGGGTTATACATGATATGAGGATAATCTATTATGGAATAGAAGTATTTTAAACGAATCATGACATCTTTCATTCAGTCAAACTAAGTATTGAAAATGCAATCAGCAACCTGCAGTTGTCAGTGTCGCATTCGTGATATACAGGCTTCAGTGGTGAGACTTGAACGCCAGAATGGAATAAAGATAGGTCTTAAAAGAATGTAAAAAGACCAATGAATTACTCTTCTCGGTAACCAACTATGCTATCAAAATAGCATATACTGTAATATGGACTATAAAGGCAAGTTGTCACAGAAAGATGAAGAGCTGCGAGTGTGACGTGACTTGGTCGAGTCAAAATTAAACACCGTGCTACGAGAGTTTTTGGTTGCTTCATGTTGCTCTATGTTGCTACCGACCTGGATCGAGGCATGCTATATATCCTGAGCACCTGCGACTTCAGCCAGAATACCTTTCTAAAGTGCCATTTTTTTGCGCTGGACTTTGACAAGACAACCGAAAGCGGGTTTTCTCCTTATATGAATCATAAATCAACCACCGACGTCGATGCAAAACGCCAATTTTCCGATTCAGTCATGCATACTCACAAACAGCAAACCATTATGACCTGAAATAAAGAGCAATCGCCGGAAAGAGATACATGCATGAATGGAGAGGCTATGTATAACATAAAAGTGGTTCAATGCCAGCTTCTAGAACTAGTTCAGCTAAGGTTATAACGAGAGATTGGACCTAGCAGGTAGTAAGTTTAAAAGCTGCTATAGGTTGATGTCGATCGGCTCCAGCCATTTGGATCCATGGGGTAGTTTTACAAATAACGAGATGAACCGATGCGGCAAGGAAGATTGTTACATCAAAGCACAGCGACTCAGCAGGGTTCAAAGAGAGACGCTGTGTAGTAAGTAATACACGAAATCAGTCTACTTCGTATTGACCTGGCCTCCGAAACTTTGCAAAGTATCAACAATATGAAAGCGCGGGTTGCGGTGTTTCAAGCCTTCTCTCCATTGTGTTCATGGGTTTCTTCTCTGCATCGAGAGGCCCAACCGGAAGCGCAATCCATCAAATGCCGCGAATTTCCGAGTTAAGGCGTGAGATAAAATTTCTATCGCTCCGGCTCGTGCACTCCTTAGCGTCGGCATTCTCTCAAGCGCGCCCTTTACCTCACTCTCCAACCAATCATTTTAACTCTTGATGCACTTGTCTTAACTAGATGCCCTGAATGCCCCGTTTTTATCCTTACACTTAACCACATCGTGCATGTAAGCAGAACTCATGTCAAACGTCTTTCACAGGGCGCGGCATGGGTTTACAGTTCTGAGCTGTGATAAAATTGCTGATACTAAGTGGCTTCTGGTATATGTCTAGTAGATCTTTGCATCATCTCATTAATAATGTTATGTATAATTTGGCTTGATTGTGGGTTGCCTTAAACTTGATGGCAAGTGCCCCCTATAAGCAGAAACTCACACGCACATCTCTCGGTGATCAGCCGAGTCATCAAGCTGGAGCAGGTTATGGAACACGACCTTTCACTTTTCTTATCTCACTTTACTAAATCTATGTATAACAATGAATCTTAGACACATATAATCCACTAATAGTCCCGCAGACTGCACTTGGTAGTCATGCCATTGGCAGCGTGCTCCACCAACTCGGAAAATTTTACGTTTGTGGAACATGACTCGAAAGCTTCTAGAAATTTTCGTGCCGCCACAAAACAGGCTGTAATACACCATCTTATTTTGGGGAGGCACCAATCTCAGTGGCATCTATGGGCTTCCCCATTGTACCAGGGATACTGTGGATAGATTTTACATCAAACTCAAGGCATCTTGCATTGCGGGGGAACGCATGTTAATACCACGTTCGTGCGAGCAGCGGGATGGGTTCGTGGAGAGCATAAGCGGACAGGGTCGTTCGCACAACTGACTGTCGACATCCACTCAGATTTGACGGATTTTCGGCATAGCTATGGGTCCAATCTGAGGAATATTCCACTAGCTTATCGGTGTAGCTAGTCCAACGGTTTAAAACCCCATTCTTCGGCTCTCAGATTTTTCCTTCCTGACCAGCCAGCCCCTTCGTTCTGAGTGACGTGTGTTTGTAACTCCCTTTTCGTGGGAAAAACATACGAGTACTTGGCATCAACTGAAGCGGTAATCCATCTCCTGGGTCTTCAATATGGCAGATAACATTGCCGCTGCGCATTCTGAAGTCTACGCTCAGCCTTCTACGAAGGGTAGCGTCGGCAAATATGAAAATCAGCAAGATGATTCAGGCCATGGAACCGACAATGACATCTTTGGAGAGACGAGCGATGAGTTGCAGGCCAGTCGACTGAAACAGATTGCTGCAGATGGCAATGCGCATTTCCACCGACTGGGCTGGAAACGCCTGGCTATTGTAACCATCGTTGAAGCCATTGCCTTGGGAGCTCTCAGTTTACCAGCGGCCTACCATACTCTCGGAATGTTCCCGGGCGTTTTCCTTACCATCACACTCGGATTGATCACGATATTCACAAGCTATCTAGTGGGACAAGTCAAATTGGCCTATCCTCAAGTCTCTCACTATGCTGACGCTGGAACACTCTTGTTTGGAAGAATTGGCTATGAATTGTTTGGTGCTGCCATGGTTCTGGAGCTTGTTATGTCTGTCGGCTCACACGCCTTAACTGGCAGCATCGCTTTGGGCACCTTGAATGGGAATCACATCTGCTCTATTGCCTTTTCAGCTATCTCGGCAGTCATCCTATTCATACTGGCTATACCACCTTCCTTCACCGAGATAGCTATTCTTGGCTACATCGACTTTGCATCAATCATTGCTGCTATTGGAATTACTATTATTGCTACAGGTATTAAAGCGCGAGACTCCTCAGGTGGACTTTCTGGCGTTGAGTGGTCTACGTGGCCTCGAGAAGGTGTTACCTTTTCTGAGGCTTTCGTGGCAGTAAGCAATATCATCTTTGCTTTCAGCTTTGCCATTGGCCAATTTTCATTCATGGACGAGATGCATACTCCCAAGGACTTCATGAAGTCGATTTGGGCATCCGGTATTGCCCAAATCATTATCTATACCCTGACCGGCGCACTCTGCTACGCATTCATCGGCCCGTCCATCCAGTCTCCCGCATTACTATCGTCTGGTCCTCTTATTTCCAAAATCACGTTTGGTATTGCGCTGCCGGTTATTTTCATCTCCGGCTCCATTAACTCGACGGTGGCGCTTCGATATATCCATGGTCGTCTTTGGAAGAAGTCAATCATTCGATATGTTAATACTCCCAAGGGCTGGGTTGCCTGGATTTCGCTCGCAGCAGTTCTGACGATTATTGCTTGGGTTATTGCCGAAGCTATTCCCATCTTTTCCGATCTGCTTTCCCTTGTTTCAGCACTCTTTGTCACTGGATTTTCTTACTGGATCCCCGCTATCATGTGGTTCAGATTACTCTGCAAGGGAAATTGGTTCTCGCGGAAGAATATCCTCATTACTCTGGGAAGCATACTGGCGTTTATAATTGGAGTTGTAGCTCTCGTTGCTGGTACATACGCCACTATTGCTGATATTGTAAGTGTAATAGCTGTTCATTCACTGAAGATAGATTGGCTAACTTTGACATAGATTCGAGAAACATCTGATGGAAGCACCACTCGACCCTTTTCCTGCAGAAGATGATGTATTGTGAAAGCGTTGTTTAAATATAGAACACTTTTGATTGATAGAGATACCGAAACTTCTGGGCCTCCGTACGGCATATGGGCCATAATTTAGTACGCACCAGTAGCCATATTGCTCATAACCCTTCTTTACTGATATGATAATACCCTCTGAAAGTCGTTCTTGGAGGAACGCAACCTCATAAACATACGTGTGGGCCAAGAGATTTGATGGAATCATTGTAAAAACAATGAATGAGGTTCCTTGTATATTTCGAATAGAGACATTGATATCCCTCTAAATATCCACCCGCTCTGTTGTATCGCGTCGAAATTATGACTGACCACAAGTGGAACGTGGCTACGTGAGACGGCCAAAGAAGAGCTTTTTAGCGACCGAATGATAAGGTAGATTTTAAATACTACTAATACAGCAACAAGAATACTCTAGATATCATCTTCATTCTCCATGATGTCCAGAGTGTGTTTAGGACCTTTAAACCATTTATGAGCGTAGAGAAAATAATAGAGCAATGCGCCTCCCCACACTGTTCCATTCACAACTGCGGAGTAATTCATGACGGATGCTTCAGTGATGTCAGCATGGCTCTGCTTCAACTTGATGACATCTGAGGGTGGGAGACTCACGATCAGGATTTGGTCCTTCGGTCGGGAACATGCATAATATTGTTGAGAAAGTCAAATACATCAAGGCAGCAATTGAGATAGCAACGCTAAATCTGCCGGTGTAAAACGGCCCTGGGCGAAATTTCTCTCTTCCCCAGAGTATGCGGCACAATATTGGAATTGCCCAAGCAACGTTATTGCCGGCAGCTGCGAGCGAGAAAAGGGCGTTTGCAGCCGCATTGTTGATTAAGGACAGTAGGCCAATAATGATTGCCGTCAGACAAGTAGCCCACACAGTTCTCAATGGCTGATACCCGAATGTTTTGCTTATCTGTCTGAGGAATGAAGAAAACGGCAATGCCCCATCGCGAGAGAATGCCCAGGTCTGTCTAGACGCTGCCACAACCTAGACACAAGCCGTTAGCCTCATTATATATATATATATCTGTGTGTGTGTGTGTGTGTGTGTGTGTGTTAAAAAGGAGGAGAGTGGATCGGGGTTTGGAGATGTAGAACAAACGGCCATTGCCTTCAATGCCACGTACAATGCTGAGTCCCATGAAAAACTGTAAGATTGAGATAGCAGACATAAAGCCCAGGGCACCGCTTTTCCCCAGAGCATTGTAGTAGATCTGCCATTAGAAAGTTAGAACGAGGAAAAGTTGGAGCTGGGCTTTCGAATCATCAGCTAGAATTTTACCTGAGCTATTGGCTGGCCAAAAGGTGTGGCCAGAATTTCCTCAAAGTTGTTACCGGCGCAGGCAGCTAGCACTGCAGTCACAAGGAAGCCGAATATCCAGCAGCCTCCAATTGAGGCGAGAATACCGATCGGCACTGCCTTTGTTGGGTTTTTAGCCTCCTCGCTCATATGCACACAAGAGTCAAATGCTCCGATTGTCCAGATTGGAGAGAGCCAAGATAGCATAAAGGCCCACCCCGATGGCCACGTCGTCTCATTGATCGAATAGCTGAACACGTAGCTGCCTGAATTGATGGGGATGTTGCGCAATCGCATGCTGACGGGCAAGGCGATAATTGTTGCAATAATTAAGGCAAAATTTGCGACAACAAACCAAGTCTGAAGATGGTGCATGACCCTTCCGGCGGAGCTCGCCAGTATACCGTGACAGAGCACCGTTGCCACGAATATCGCATAGAGTTGGCCTCTGCTAGGGATCCATTCCCCATCACTACTGATGGTGCCAAGTGAGACAATGAAGGATGCGAATCCATCTAGACGGGAATTAGCTGGATCTGTAAACAGGATTTATGACGGTCCTGCTCTTACAGTCTATTGAGCAGATGCCCCCAATCAACCCTATTGTGTTGCTATATCCAACAAGGAAACTCAGCGGGTTTTTATATCGTTCAGCTGCGAAATAATGTGTCCACCAGTAAAGACCGCCAGATGTCGGGAGCGAAGAGCCGAGATCAGCCTAACAATATTAGAAGGGTTCAGGCGGGGATTAGCATGCTATAAAACTCACAATTGCCAATCCAACAACGAAAATAAGAGCGCTTGCAGAGAACCATCCCTATAGCTGTCAAACCACGTTGGACTAAGGCACCTAAGATATATACTTACCCAAACCATTCCAACTGGGCCTGCGGGAACGGAGAACCATAAGGTTGCGGATATAGAAGGGAGAAGTCCCATAATGCTAAAGGCTATAGCAAACACCTGAACACTAGAATAATGGCGCTGAAGTTCCTGTTTGTAACCGATACTTGCTATGTAACGCATCAGTATGGTAGAGCCTCTAGTCGGGAGCACAGCAACACTAAGCTCACCTAATTGTTGTGTGTCTGCTGCATTGGCGAGAGCAGGATCATATTCAATAGATTTTTCGTCTACATGATGTTGATCTTCTACTTCTGTCACGACACCTTCCAGGTTCTCACGAGAGTCTCGAGGCGCCATGGCTCATACCGACGCAGCTGCGCTATAATTGGATAATGATAGAGATGACGACCAGAAGTTGACTGGGAGGACATTACGTGTATTGGAATTCCAATCTCGCACATATATACGTAGAGTTCGTTATCTTGCCCATTCATAGAAACGGCTTCGGATTCGGATTCGGACTCCATGGTCTTGATAAACTTGAACTTAGCCTACAGACTATCTCGGATCCCCACGTATCTAGTCAAAACGCGGGGAAATGCAAGGGAGTGGTCACTAGATCGGCTCCCATATCTCTTCAAGCTTTAGTCTTTATCTCCCGATATGGAGCCCTTGCAGTTCAAGCTGAAAAGGCTGCTCTGGTGTTGCGTACTCCGCACGAAGCACATAGAGCCGAGGCGATATACGACGTCAACGGTAGCACAGATTTTCATGTCTAGCTCCCTCAATTAAGCTAAGCCAGCGTCATTACGAGGCAATTAAGTAAAATCGGTTGGTAATGCGGTCTCGCAGCAAATGCGAACTGCAATAAACCCAATGTAGATTAGATCTTCCGGAATCAAGCAATGTGATGCAGCATACTACTGTGAAGCTACTAAACTCTGAAGCCGAACTACGGTCCGATATTCTCCTTTATTAGCGGCTGAAACACCACGGCTCCTGTCCGTCATTCTGGGATTTCTCTATAAATGAAGTATTCAACCTTGAAGGAATTAAAGTTAGACATGATCCCCATATTTCATTGATGAAGACAATGTGCAGTGCAGTAGAGCTTATAGTGTTGCGATGTGTTTTTACTCTGATTTGGCCCCAAGTAATCTCAGAGATTCCTGGCTGCGTAGACGTTTATCAAGTTCCCGAGCTTGACCCAGTTAATTCGAAGGTTGAGTTGAGACTGAGAGTGGGTACCTTAATGATGCGTGTTGAAAGTTGCTCTTTTAAGGAACATATCATATGAGTTATACTGGACGGCTCAAGATGAGAGGACAGAACACAGTCAAAAAGTGTTATTTGAGATAAAAAGTTCCTGGCAGTTGAGTTCATAATTAAATGGCATTTGCTTTAATAGGATATCTTTGTCAACCGGGGTGCATCTTAAGCTGAAGAAATTAAGTCTACTCTCTGAACATCTTGCAACTCTGCGTCTGGCGGCCATTTGTGTGCTTTAGGACGCTACATCGATTGATGTGTGTGACTCTGCAGCTGCTTGTGCCCTGTGAATGAACTAATCCTGGTCCTTTAATGTCCTACACGGCCCCAGATTGCTCCAAACCAAAACTACCTTAACTTGCGATGGTTTCTGTGGACGCGACATATTCTCAAGAAGACGTTGCGCTAGCAGTGACTTCTAATGTTTTACCTCAGAAACTCAATGACTGCCGCGAAGAATTGATCTGGCTGTTCAATCCAGGGAAAATGCCCACACTCGGGAATAATGACGACCTGCGAGTCGGCTATGTGCTCTGCTGTAATACGAGTGACATTCTCGGTGCATATTGGATCCTCAGAACACCCCAAACATAGCGTACGGGCCTTGACTTTATCGAGTCCAGCATAGAGATCAAGGGTCTTGATCTTGTCGGCTGCACCCTGAGCTTTGTAAACCCACCACGAGGGCTCGCCCATTGCCTTCTCAAAGGCGGGGTAATCTTTGTCTGGGTTGGCTGGATAGAAAGACAACCTCACGCGTAAGTTTTGAAACCACTCCTCCTGTGACTGAAATTTCTGAGTTTTGGCTATCTCAAGTGCCGCAATGGCCTTCGAAAATGCTGGATTACCCTTTCTCTCATCCAGAAATCGTTGCCAAGTGCGACTGTCATCGTATCCTTCGAGCCAATGTGTGAGGAGGATTAAGTTTCGGACTGAGGCGGGGTACCGCTCAGCATACGCTAAGGCGATGGTGCCTCCATTGGAATGACCAAGCAAATCGATTTGTTCAAATTCCAAGTGTTTTCGTAAAAGCTCGACGTCGTCGGCCATATCGGAAGTGCTCACCATGTCTTCTTGTGGTCGCTCGGAGGGGCCTGAGCCGCGGGGCTCTAGGTATATTAGGGTGAATTGAGCCTCAAGAGGCGAAAACCCAATTTGAAGATACTGAGAAGAAATTCCCCATCCTGCTGCTTGAACAATAAGATATGGTCCAGATCCTCGCACCGTATAAGTTAATTCGATGTCCAAGCCTTGGAACTTGTGAGTGCCAGTGCTTAAACCCGGGTTTGCCATTTCGTCAAATGAACGTTAAACAGGATCGGAAATTATATGAAAGAAAACCACCTAATTGAGCATCAACAACTGATAAAAGCCAGCTTAATTAAATGGTTTGCTCACACGATGTGGTCTTTACATTTCTCACTTCGCGTGATATTATTTGGGGGGAAACACGAGTATTTATGCGTTGGACTCAAAGGCGTTTGGCATTTGAACCATGCCTGGTCTATCCACTTGAGTTAAGCATGCCCACCTATGTAAGCTAAGCAAGCTACATTAAATATTGGATGATTCAGTTTTTGGGAGTCTCATTTTCACCATCTTGTATGATTCAAACTGTCGAATGAGAAATAACTTTATTTATTCAGTTTCGAGAGACTTTACCTGTCACAAAACTATATTTCCTGAAGGAACGATCCTTAAGGCGTCACTCTAATCTCAAAACCGATAATGCTGAATCTCAAAATGTGTTACAAGACGTACTTGTTGTCACAACCTAAGAGTAAATTTCGCACTAGGTAACTAAATCAGCTCACTTACGGCGCGTGGATGACGAGGAGTAAGCAGCAATGAGTCCGGCAAGTTGCAGTCCATGCCCCTCACACTTGGCCCCTCGTGATTGGGCGAGAGGATTAAAGGCTATTGCAGCAGCGTTTCATCGTTTTTGAGTATAATTTGCATTGATGCCTGGCTTGACCGCGCGTCCATCCACATTCATCCTCATAACCTACGCTAGTCTTGTCATATTCATTTTTCAGTATACTGTACCTATTCTACTTTAACTGTGGGATAACGTAATATTTTAATACTAGTTTAAAATTAGAACCTTTAAAATCCCCCGAAACCCCTCTCCATCTTCCTAAGATCACGAGAAATTGAAGCTTTGCCATCTTTTGAGGGCTCAATTCCATCACAAAGAGATAGAAAAGACCCCCTCTGTCCCTAAGCAAAAGCTTTCCTATAGTTTCAGCAAACGTCCCTTCACTATGGATACTTTGACAAAGAAGATTGTGAAAGTTTCCCGGGGCTTTTCCTACACATATTATGTGTCAAAGGCATCAAGTGGGAAGCCAACCATTCTTCTCCTTCATGGGTGGCCGGATCACGCGGCACTGTGGGAGGATCTCGCAACACGCTATCTTATTCCACAAGGATATGGGGTCATTATACCTGACTGTTTAGGCCATGGCGATACCTCGAAACCTACTGACCCCGAGGTGTTTAATTCAGCCGGATTGACTGGCGACTTTATTGAGATCCTAGATGCTGAGCATGTTGAAAAGGTCATTAGCAGTGGGCATGATTGGGGCGCGGGTCATGCTCACCGCTTCTATGTTTTTCATCCTGAGCGTTGCTCTGGATTAATCATGCTGAATTTTCCAGCATCTCCTCCGCCACAAGGACCAATTGTGATGGATCAGCTGACTCCGGCCATGATCCAAGCTATTGGCTATTTCACAGGCTGGTACTGGGCGCTGTTTAGCGATCCAGTTGCTGGGCCTGCACTACTAAACGAGCATGCCGAATCGTTGTTTACGGCGTTGCACGCGGAACCAATAGAGTGGATGAACACGCTTTGTGCAAAAGATGGACTCAAAACCTGGCTGGAGCAGGACAAGAAAGGACCCGTGCAAGAGTATGCGACCAATCAAATGCGAGAAAATTTTATTAATCGCATGAAACGGGATGGATTTGAATCGTCTTTGTGCTACTATCGATCACTGCTAGATGGCCGTTTTTACGAGCAAGATTCGCGGCTGCCGGCTGAGAGATACCAAATCGATGTGCCATACTTATTCATTGCGGGAACACAAGACGTTGTTTGTCGGGCGCAGGGGATTGAAGCTGTTAAAACTCTTGGATTGGCACCTCACCTAACAGTGAAAGAACTAGATACTGGTCATTGGAGTATGCTCGCGAAGCCGGATGAAGTCGGAACCTACTTTCTAGAGTGGCTTAGGGATAATTATTAGTGCCAAATAGATATCAACTGTACAGCCGAGAATTGTATTGGCTTGAGGTAGCTTCAATATGTTGACAGGAGGTACTATTGCGCAACTGCTTAGTCTATCCTTGATGTAGGTCAAGAGTCTTAAACACTTTCACATTATCCACACGCATGTCAGTAGCCATGTCTAGAAGCGGGCCGTCACGAAACGTACTAAGAAAGAACACGTTCAACAGCCCTTGTGGAATAAAAAATAGCGCTGTTGACATCCATTCTATTGTGCTAGCAAACTCAGCCTTGTTGTTCGATCGATACGGAAGGGTGGGGTTGTACAAGGAACAGATCTTGCAACTTACCAGTTTGAGAATGAGAATGCGAAGTTCGACATGCCACCATTGAACTAAGCGATCTGTCCCCCACTTAGGCATCTCGCTGGGTGCGCAACTCATGTTCGACTATCTCTAGATGGCATTGCCCCGTACTAGTTGAGATACCCCGACGTATGTCAAGACGCCAACTAACTAGATGACGCCAGTTCAGGCTAATAATGCCTTCTCTGCTAAGCCCATGCCGGTGTATTACTTCCTCTTCTTGGAAAGACGGCATTTCCTAAGGGGGAGCTGTCTCGTATGACATGAGCTAAAGTCTTGTGGCACTTATCCGCGGAAAGGAGTGGTCCCGCGGAAAGATTGATTCAGAGAAATGGGAAGCTTGTTGAAGGATTACAGTTATGGAAAATACGTGATACGACTAAGGAATAATTACTACATATATCGCTCGGCATAGTTGCCAAGGGCTTGGCACATCTGCAACTGCAAATGCGAATTCTGCAAACATTTTTGTTAATTTTGTCTTCTCTGGTCTGTGCAAAGCTCATGCAGTTTGGAATGCTAGTCTAAGAGCTAAAGCATTCATACAGGTTATTCCGGGTGCTCCAAATCGTATTTTTTCTCACTATTTACTAGGAAACACAACTTCTCTTCTCCCATAGAAGCTATTGTCTTCAATATCGTGTTTTTATATTATTGAGCTGAAGCTCTTTCCCACGGTCCTCGAGATTAATTCATCAATTTTTACACCATTTGCGTTCCAAAGACAGAGATCTGGCAAAGAGTTGAGCATTCGAAAACAATGTGAGAGAAAAGCGGGGCGTACAATGCCTGAAGGGCCTAAAAACACACGTCCGAATGCACGATAGTTGCCCAATAGCTACAGCAAGTCGAGGAATATTCTTTGTATCCTGTACAAATAGCATTGCTTGCTTTTGGTAAATTGCTAAACCACAAGATAACGTGACCTTTTTCTTCGTGTTTATCCTTTCCGTCTTCTTCTCTTTTGCATCATACCGGTGGGAAGTTTCCACTTTCGGGAGAGGTCTGAGTTGGTTCCTGCTAATTGTTCTCAAGACGTTTTCATCATCTAAGCGGACTTTTCGGCCGAGAGATACGCAAAGTGCTCAGCACCCGATTACCTGTTGGCCTGTAAGAGTACTAGTTATGTATTCGGATCTGGTGAACGAAATCGTTCCCGCTAGCGTGTGATCAAGGTTCAGTAAATTAGCGGTCTATCAGGCGCCACTGGCCTTGGGCACCTGAGCAATACATGCTCTTCACAGTTTGGAGCTATTAGTGGGCAATTGAATGCCTTATCTCATGACAAAAGGAGGCCTTGCAATTTAAGAATGCCGACGCCTCCCATCACTCAAGCTCGCTTTTTTCAGTACTAGAGAATGTGTTAATGGCGACACGCTCAAGCTGAAAAAGCTGAAAGCACTGTGAAGTAGGCCTCTCACAGTAAAATTACCAGCGCAGATGTAGCTTGAATTCGGAAAGAAAATGTTTCTACCCATGATTACGAGGTTGTAAATCTTGCAGTGAAAGGCGACCCCACTGAAGAAGAAAATATCACTTACCTTCCAGCAAATGAGATACGATTCTTCCACTACTCTCACTCCCTTTTGAGAAAAGAAAAGCCGAATTCGTCCGGCTTACTCAACGATGATGCATACCCTTGCATCCTATAAAGACCAATCTGCCATAATTGATTACTACTCATGTCATTTCATTATAGCATGTCCGTTATCAACCAAGTATAGATGCAAGTGGATATGCCAATGCCAGATGATCCGTTCTTCTTTGTGGCTCGCCAATCAGTCAAATGCAACTGAGTTTCCGCGATTAAAAAGAAACCATTGTGCAACCCTGTTGAAATCTTGCTCGGCAACATTTACTTAGTAAAGGGCAATTGTTGATGATAACAGCTTGCGTGGAGTCATTCTGAATATGACGCTCTACGGCTATCTTCTGGCTCGAACAGCACCCCCGCTCTCCAGAGGGAAGATTAATTTGATCATCGGATAGAAAACCTCCGTACGTGTTTCTGAGGCTGAAGAGTAATCATTATCAGTGGCTTCAAATATAGCGCTGCACCATTGGTGTGCAAAATCTTACTCGCCCCAAAAACCAGTGTGCTGCTTACTCGATCCATTAATATTTACCGCTTTAGGCTTTCTCACAGTGGGCGCGTGTTGATATTAACGGGGCACGCAAATTCAGCGCACCTCAAGTATTTATATCACCACTTCTCCCAAACAATTGCTCTTTAGAGATCATACGATGTTAAAAGAGGGTTTATTACACTGCATTAGATTCATGTGCTTGAATCATATTAGTATCACCTTCATTGGATTCTAGTTATATTTGTTCAAACCGCCGACTCTCTCTTCCCCATCTCATTTCATTCTTATGTCAAACATGTCGCCATCAGCGGTGCCACAATTTCATGTGAAGAAGATAGCAATTATAGGCGCCGGACCTAGCGGCCTTTCTGCTGCGAAATATCTAAGAGCACAAAACTCCTTCGATTCTATCGTCATATTTGAGCAACAGAAAGAAACTGGAGGCATATGGAACTGCTCAAAACATCCACTTGTATCGACCACAATCCCGAAAGATGATAGGCTCAAGTTAACGAACAATTTCATTGGAGATAGCTCAAGCACACTGTCACCGATTTATGACCAACTTTACGCCAACATTCCCATACCGATGATGCGATTCTCTGATCAGCACTTCCCTCAAGGAACCTTATTGTTCCCTTCACGCGAGGTCATCCAAGCCTATCTACTCACATACGCCCAGGAGGTGATGAGCCTAATTAAATTTGGCGTTGAAGTGCAACAACTGGAACCTCTTTGCGAAGGAACCAGGACCACTTGGGCATTAGAGGCAAAATCTGCGCATGATAACCAGACCATAAGAAATACGTACGACGCAGTAGTTGTTGCAACGGGACATTACTCGGTCCCATTTATTCCAGATGTTAAAAATATCAAGGAATTCATGGATACACATCCGTCTATCACATCACACTCCCGCGACTACCGTTCGCCCACGTCCTTCAAAGATAAGAAGACCATAGTCGTGGGCAATGGAGCCTCGGGTACCGATATCGCCCTTCAAATCAATCGAGTATCGCATCGAAAAACAATGGTATCCGTGAGATCACCAACGCCTCAACCACGGCTAGCCTACATGGCTTGTGAGGAAGTCCCAGAAATCGAAGAATTTCTTGTCGATCAAAGAGGGATTCGATTCAAGGATGGGAGAATAGAGACCGAGATTGATGCTGTGATCTTTTGCACAGGATTTTTATACGACTATCCCTTTCTTCGTGATCTAAACAAGAAGCTTATCACGACTGGTGGCGGCGTACATGGACTTTACAAGCATATATTCTGCATTGATCACCCAACGCTAGTTTTCCCAGCACTCAATGTGAAAACTGCGCCCTGGCCACTTTCTGAGGCACAAGCTGCTCTGTTTTCTGCTGTATGGTCCAACAATATTCAGCTCCCCTCAAAAGACAGAATGCAAGAATGGGCCAAAAAGCTTTACGAAGATGAAGGCGAGCAGCTGCATATATTTCGTACATCATCATCTGATGGTCTATACATCAACGAACTTTACGATTGGGTGATGAAGTCACACCACAAAGGCAAAGAGCCGCCATTTTGCACTGACATTTCTTTTTGGCAAAAGCACATCTTTCCCCAGGCTAAGCTCAAGTTTGAAAAGGACGGATACAAAGCGACTAGTCTAGAAGAGCTCGGATTCTACTACGAAGAGGATTGGAGGACAAAAGTGTAAATAGTCAGGCATTGATGACAATTGAGAGAAATATATAAAGGATTCTTTTTCTTTCTTTATTTCTTTCTTTTTATAGCTAAATACAGATATTCGTAATCCTTTGGTATCATGCCTCTCAAGCAAAAAGTGGCAGCGACGGTGCTGTTGAGACCACAGCGTCGAGAATTTTGCTATATCCCACGTAGTTCTCAATAGCTAGATCATTCTGATTCCAAATGGCTTCAATCATCTGCTGCATTAGAGGAATATGATTGGATCGATGCTCTATTTCTTGGTTTGTGTCAGCAAGAATGGACAGTATCTGGAGACGCTGTGAATCTTCATTGGCTTCGCAGGCTATGATAAACAGCGGCCATGCACTCTCGCAAAACCCAAGGTTTTTTAACAACAGTATACCCTCTCTCACAAGCCTTCGGTGCGAAAAAGAGGATGTGGAGACATTGGATACCGTGCGATTGAGATATATCAATGCAGCATATTGATAAAGACAGCTCAGCATGTCTTGCCTGTTCAACAATGACTCCAAGTGTTCGTGAAAAGTTCCATATTCTCCTATGATTCCATATATGTTTTGTCGGAATTGCTGGAGTCGCTCCATATCCGTGTTGTTATATGGCAAATCGGCGCTTGCATAAGTCGATGGTCTCTTGCAAACGTTTCTGACAAGGTGAAGAACATCCATGGGACAAGTAATTCGATTAGCAGCCTACCACCAAATTTAGCTTAACATCCATGCGCCGTTATGTGGCAAGTCATGTGCCTTACTATGGGGTCGTCGATTATTATATTGGTGGGCCGTATCGCCAGAGGCCCTTTACAAAAACCATCAACGGTGCTTAGCTCTGCCCAATGGTGAAGGCTGAATTCGGACATCACTTCATGGTAATAGATCCAATCCATCAATACGGCGCAATCATGTTGATATAATGCAACGAATTCGGAAGCGGCAGAGATAATTTTCTTCGCTCCACAAAGATAAAACCGCCATAGTCCTCCTGGCTCGGCAGTGTTGCAAACCTAAAACAGTCAAATTCCACATCTGTGATAGTCGGGGGTGAGAGTGAATATACTTCACATTGATATAGAAGCATAGTGGCAATAAGATTTTGAAGAACACCTTCTCTGTCCATCCTAGTTACATTCTTCTGCAACATTGAGATCAGGCGAGACTTATGGCTCTGGCTCTTTGAAGGCCCCAGGAGTAGTAGAGAAGACAAGGCGAATATACCTTCCATCACTGGATTGACTGATGAGCCATCATTACTTATTGCCATTCTCATAATAAAATGGGCCAGTGACTCGTCAATGACGGGTGCCAAGATTCGCGTTTTCGTTTCCTTGACTATTAGAGCAGAGTTAAGCGGCGTAACGTCTCATTGGGGCTTGATCACCCACAATAGTCGAACAGTTGATAATCTTCCCACAGTAGAGACTGTGAGAGGATTGGTAAGTGCGGCACTCGCAATGTATGTAAGTAATGAGCTATGCATCCTACGTTAGTGAGACAACTTGGATGAGCGTGCAGCAGTCAAAGTTACGTACCGAGCTCGCGATTTTCTTGAAGCGCGTCAGCTAATGCTACGTCAGAAGTGAACGCGTTCAGAAACATCACGCCTCGTCCCCGGTATTGCTGTGATAATTTGGCTAGCCCTGCTGTGTCGCGGTTGACTAAAGCTCGCCGCTTGTTGCCCTCTCGAGGCCAAGACAATTGCATGCCATAGCCTTTGCACGGCTGCAAGGCCTTAGCACAATTAGTGCATGTAGGTTTTCGCAAGTCGCACCGAACTTTGCGAGCTAGATAGAATACTTCAGCTTCCAAATTAAGCAAATTACTCAATGGGTCTTACCTCGACATGTCCAGCACCCTTTGATACCCATCTGGAATAACCAATATGACTCGTGCGACTTGTCGACGCTATTTCCTGTGGCAATTCTTTCGCGCCGAAAGACTACGATGAGAGTCTTTCGAGTAGGCTCCTTGTATCTTGAGTTTATAGCTAGGAATCTAGGAAAGAGTAAGGGAAACTTGTGTTCGAAACTAGCTTGCGTGGTCGCTTAAGGGACTGTCGGTCGCGACTATTTGCAATCCGCTCTTTCGACGGACTTACAGAGCTTACTAATTGCCCGGCATTTAGACGGAGTAAGCACGGAGCTATGAAGCATCTAAAGACAAGGTGGCGCCGACTTCAATACTACTATTCATGTAGTTTGGGTAGAGCATGAGTGGCGTAATAATTTCTTCCGCTAAAGCGGTGTGCATAGATGATGTATCCAATAGAGAGAAACATCAGAGATGACCGCACAAATATTGACTCCCTACCGTTTATCGTTGTTTGTCAAGGTGGGCTAGATGCTATTATCCACCGGTGTCTTAGTTAGCCCTGGCCTTTCGCACAGTCTTCGTTGTTTTGTCGCTATGTGAACGCATGGTACCATGATATCCGAGTAGACAAAGCAGAGAATGTCCATTCGTCCCTTACTTCCAAAAAGATCACAACGGCAAAAAGATTTGATTTCGTGTCTGGGTAAAAGTACTCTGGCAGGTCGGACCACAATAGTACTACAAGTACGACATGACACAAATTGGTATTTGACCCGTAGCGGTGTAATCAAAATATCTTTTTACGAGACCTTATGATATGCTAATTTATGCTATTGGCGTTCGAATATACAACTCCTCAAGCCTGACATCACAGCTTTCCTTGATGATCTCCGTTCAAAAGCCATCACAGACCAGAACAACAGAACCCGTCTTAAGCACCAATCTTCTGTAAAGCCTCAATGGTCATCTCCTTGAGCGTCTTCTTCTTCAACGTCAAGTAGCCATCGCCATCGAAATCCAAGCCGTCAGCTAAGTCGCCCGCTCCACATCCATTGAAAGCACCCACAAGAATGGTAACGAAGAGTGCACCGAAAGGATTACCAGCTGCGAGGTTCGCATTGCGTTGATCAAGTAGCTCTTGAGAACTAACGTGTGTCTTCTCAAACTTGGTGCCCAAGATCTCCTCATAGGTTTTCGTGATTTTGTTCATAGTAGTACGAATCTCGCTAATACGAATGCGTTTATTCTTGGTTTTCTCCTCGTCCATTTGGAGCACTGCGACGATAGCAGCTCCAAGGTAAGGGAGTGTACAGCCAGAGAAAGTAAAATCTCCACTGTCAACGACAGTAACTTTACGATTCTTAGGGTCAAACGAGCCAAAGGCGCCCTCAAGCCACCCGTCCATAAAGGCGGATGGAATCAGAGTCGTGAAACTTGTAGGTCCACCTTCTTGGGCCAGAGAAACAAACTTGCGGGCCGTGAGCACGGGCGAGCTGTCTTCAGGCCAGTTTCCACCTTCAGTCAAAAGAGTAGCTGCGTCTGGGTGCAAAATATCGAGAGTGTACTCCGACGGGAAAATGCGCCGGACGCCAGCCTCTTGCGCGGCCTTCAGCAGCTGCTTATCAATAATTTTGGATGGAGGTCCAGAAATAAAGGAGAGAATTGCATCAGCTCCGGTGAAGATTTTCACAAGTTGATCGTGGTTGTTGTAGTCAACCGCAATGAGGTTTGCGCCCGGCCTGGATGGTACTCCTTTGCCGCTGTCGGCTCGGGTCAAGATGGTAACGTCGAACTTCGGCTTTGTAGATGCCAAGATGGCGCGGATGGCATGATCTGCCACCCAGCCGGTGCTTCCAGCAATAATGAGTTTGGTGAAAACCATGGTGAAATGGATGTTTTATTTTGTTTTGCTTTTTAAGAGGTGATAGCTTGATAATGTAGAAGAAAGTCGAAAGCCGAGTTCGATAGATATCCTCCCATTATATAACTCGGGGCGTAGGATACAACCATGGTGGTTTTTCACATTCATTGTGAGTTTTATTGCTAGTGTTACGTCAAAATGGGAAACTTTTCACGAAACATTCACCCATGCGTGACGTGAAGTTAGGAAACTCTTCGGAATTTTGGTCACCATTCATCCCTGTGTTACGTGAACTTGGGAAACTCTCAGCAGAATTTATGTCACCATTCGTGAGTAGCGATAGAGTATAAGGTAATAAAGAGGAAGTATTAAACTCGCGTAGGCAGAAAAGCGTCTCGCTGGCCATGGAGTGGGGCGAGCAGGCTTACAAAATGCTGGCAAGTATTTCCGAGGAGTGCCAGTACACGCCACAATGTTCGCACAATGATTGAAGATCAGTGAGCAAAGAGTGTGTATGGAGCGTTGATTGGCTTTATTAACGGCGCGATTGATCTATATAAGAAGTATACTATCCAGCTGTAGTTTTTCGGACTCTAGTGGGATCAGTTTGCAAGGCGACAATCTTTTTTGACATTTTTTCAAGGGAACTCTTTCTTCTAGTATGACTCAAGAGGTGGCTCTGATTCTGGGCTACGGGCCCAGAGTTGGATCTGACGTTGCGGAAGCGTTTGCAGCCCAAGGCTACAAAGTGGCGGTAGTCTCACGATCGAAAAAAGAGGTGAAGCTGGAGTATCTCCAATTGCAGGCAGACTTTTCGGATCCTTCCTCAATTGAAGGAGTATTCACCAAAGTCACAAGCGAACTTGGCCATCCGAGCGTGGTAGTCTACAATGGTTCGTCCTCCCTCTTTTTTTTTTTGTCGTAACTCATGCGATCAAAGGCATAATTAATGATGTGTAAATTTTTGTAGCGTCTTCATTTAGTCTGGATCCTTCAAGCTCATTGGAGCAACAAATTGCAGCCTTCCATCGTGATGATAATATCAACATTGTGTCTGCATATGTCGCGGCACATTTGGCTACAAAGTCGTTTGCTACTCTTCTACCAGAGTCATCTCGAACTTTTATCTATACAGGCAACAAACTCCCGTTCATGGTTGTGCGACCCTTACTATCTCAAGGAGTTGGTAAAGCTGGGGCAGCACATTTGATGCATTATTTGGCAGAAGATAATAAAGAATTTGGTTACAAGTGAGTTAAATCAGGCAACTAAGTGATATGATCCTAATTGATGACTCGAATGCAGATTTTACTTCGCTGATGAGCGGAAACTTGACGGAGATCCAGTGTATGCTGCCATTGACGGCCCAGCTCATGCCGCCTTCTATACCGAGCTGGCAAAGAAAAAGACCCAAGGGCCGTGGAACGCAACTTTTGTCAAAGGAAGAGGATATGTTGCTTTCTCTGAAGAAATTGTACATGATAGTGTTACTATGCAGCTGGGCGTCCCAAGCTAAGATTGATAGAATTAACAAGCTGTAAGCATAGTGAAGTCGCGAAATAGAGTCGACAGTGAAACAGTGATAAAAGATTAGCACATTAGACGTTAGATGTCCACTCTGATGATTTCCTTCAAAGGGGATTGCCACAATGTATTCGGGAAGTATCCGATACCGGATCTATGCTAGTAGTAATCTCAAAATTATTCCAGAAATAATGTAAATGTCGACCTCAGTGTTCACTGCCCGCCGATTATGATACTCCAACATTCTTTAAAGCTTCCTCTGTAATCCGCCACAAAGATTGAGCCAACTCACTATCGCGCGATCTTTCCGATCCAGGGCTTATTTTTCCCGGCGCGGTCAAGAACTTACCTTTGTATGTCTTTGGCTCCTCTATAACTTCCTTTGCAGTCGCACAAAAAAGTTGATTCAGAGCGCCTTTTTCGGGGCTTTTCATCACTAACTTTAAGACCAGTTTCAGAAAGCTAGGAAACACTCCCATACCGCCATCAGTAGCAACTGGGCCGGGGTCGAGTGCCAGTGCAATAATTTTAACGTCTTCTTGGTCCAGTCGTCTCTGCAATTCCCTTGTAAAAAGAATGTTCGCTAATTTACTAGCGCCATAGCGACTGAAGACAACCGTTCGTGAAGTATAATCGTTCGGGTTGGTCGTTCCAGGATCACTAAGATCTTTGATTGTTGCGAAAACATTATGTTTAGATGCAAATCTCTCAGCAGAAGAGCTTATCTGAGTATTGGGTGCTTAGCAAATGTTTTCATAATATTGGTCGACTAGGAAACTCACTGTCACGACGCGGACATCAGAGCCAGCTTGAGATGCAGTGGCTTTGAGAAGCGGCAAAAGCTTCGTAGTGAGTACAAAATGACCAATATGACTATATATGCTTGCATTAATTTATTGAATGCAATATTCAATAGGTGAAATAATCACTTACTTGACAGCGATTGTTGACTCAAAGCCTTCCGTGGTCGTTGTAAAATCATCAGCTGCTATGCCGGCATTATTGACTGTGGAGATAACTCATTATTAGCGCTGGACTATGGTACACGGAATGAGAAGCAAGCGCACTCAAGATATCTAATCTTTTTTCCCAAGATGACAGCAACTGCGCAGCCTCCACGATATTGAATAGTTTCGACAAATCTAATGGCAGCCATATTATATGCTCTTGACCAATGGTATGGTTTTCCGAAAGGATGCTCTCGATTGCTTCTTTTGCTCGAGATTCAGATCTGGCCCCCATATACACTTTGGCACCATGCAATGCCAGCTGTTTGACTGTTTGAAGACCAATTCCTGTACTAAATCGAGAATGTAAGGTTGGCGTTTATAGAAGGCAGAAGCATGTGGATCACTAACTTTCCGCCTGTCACCAGCGCAACTTTTCCGGTAAGATTAGGAATAGAGGTATCGTTCCACATTGCGACAATTAGTCGTTGTTTTTCAATCTTATGTCTATAAAGTACCGATCCAATAAAAGATAAAAGATAGAGATTCAACCTGAATTTATTGTTCGTATCATATCGAACTGCTTAAATATAGAGGCACAAAGTAGTGTAGCTGTAGAAATGGTGTGACTAATCCAGCTAGACTCCTTTATGAGCTCGGAAAAAGTTGCTGTCCATTTGACATCAGCTTACCCCGGTAACAAGAACTCTATTTGTGTTTCACTCCGGGACTCAGAGCTCATCATTTATTATAATGATAGACCAGTTAGACTATCCATACTCCTTCAGAACAATTGGCGGCCATATTAGAAATCAGACTCCCATAGAGATCTAGCTATTTGGAAAGAAAGTTGGTCAGCGGATGCCCAGCTTTACTAATAGGGCTTTAAAAGCCAACAAAAAAAAGGGTCATAATAAGCCATCAATTTCCTCGATTTCTTATGGTCACGTTGTAATAATAAATTCACTCTTGGACGACACAAAATACTCTTCGTGGTATCAGTAATACGTATAGATAGCAGTGTTCATCTTCGTATTGTTCGAAGATTGTTGAATTGCTGAGCTGTGATAGCGTTACCGCTCAGCTTCTGTCATCCAAGCTTCTTTTCACTATTGAGTCAGGTTATACTGCGGTGATGGGTCTCATTTGCTCTATATTGGAATCCAAGCCTCTGAAATATTTTTGGAAATATGGTCGCATCGGTGATAAAGATTCTGCGTGTGTAGCAGACATCTCACATTGGTCATTACATACCTAGATGTGATTGTCGCAGAATGCAGGGCACGGCATGAGAATTGCAATAAGCACCGCGGAGTATTGGACAAAAAATTGTGTACAACATTGATGAAAACATGTGACAAATATGATAAATACAGAAAGACCATAGAATAACAACTATGTTCAACAGGAAGAATAAACGAGAATGGAAAAACTTTTGCGACTGGACTCAATGGTTCGACGCTATTTCCGGGAAATGCATGAGCTTACAAGAGACGTATCAGTCCAGGAGCTTCCGCTACCTGTCGGGGTCTCTGTAAGGATATAAGTGCTATCAAATGAGCCTGCGCCCCAGCCAACGTAGCCAAGGTAGACGTCGGAGTTCTGATTTATGTATTGGAACTGTTGGCAAAGATATTGAATGCATGATTGAGTGTTACCGCCGCCTGTCTCAGTCAGGATAGCCTGGCGGTTGTTTTGACGGAGCCAAGTGGCAACAGGTGAGAAAGCATCATTAACGTTATTTGTGACACAATCGGCGTGAGTGCCAGAGTTATCCGAATCCAGGTACTTATGTAGATCGAAAATCAGATTGGTTGTGGAACCATCAGGGTTCTTGACCTGAGATAAGGCGGCTGCACTTCCATCAGAAATAAACGCTCCAGCAGATTGCCAATCATTTCCTGGCAAGGAAATAAACTGTGAGGTAGCGCCGGCATTACGGATAGCAGTGACAACAGCTTGAACAGTAGTAGCCCATGTGTTAATATTCACATCATGTGGCTCGTTCATGATTCCGAACCAAACCTTCGACTGAGAGGCGTACTTCTGCGCCAACTGTGACCAAAGACTGGTAAACTGATCATTTGTAGGCCCACCTTGGCCAATAATCCCGCCATTCCAGCGTGCATAGTTGTGTATATCAACAATGCAGTATACGCCCAGAGAGAGGCAAGCCTGAACCAGCTGGTCGTATTTACCAAAGTTGTTTGAATCCAGAGTTCCACCCAAGTTATTGTTCACAAGGTACTGCCATCCCACAGGGAGGCGGAAAATGGTTAATTTGTCATCGTTGACAAAGTGCTGCATTTGACCAACGCCATCAGGGTAGTTGTTGGTGCCAGCATAGTTCTTCAGCGGCGGGTATACCTTGGAGGTGACGCAGGTTCCATCAGTCCCACAGCCAAAATCGAATCCGGCAATATTGACTCCAGCGAATCTGGTGAGGCCAGAGCCAGCTGGAGGAGTAGCTGACGATGTTGAACTCGCCCTGGTAGTTGATGCTGAAACCGAAGTGGGCTTGGTTGAGGTAGACATGGTAGTGGCTCCAGGAATGCATTGAGCGTAGTATGGGTTGAGAGTAGAACAGGCGGATCCAGCAACGCAACTGGTCGGGCCGCTCCATCCTTGACCTCCGCACTGCCCCCAAACAGTTTGCTGGGCAATAGAGCCGCCAGCCAGTAAAGTAGCTGCAAGCAGCAATGAACTCATAGGCTTATTCATTACGAAGGAATAAAAAATGGAAGGACTAGATACTAATCGGCATGATTAGCAAAGGGATGTCTGCGAAATGAACCATGGGGTTCATGTTCTCTTGGGTGGACGGTTTTGGTTATACCATATGAGGAGTTACAAACCTGTATGTGACCAAATAAATCTCAGATTTGGGGCCTAGGGGCGAGTAAAAAAAAAAAATTGATACTTGGGTGGTGAGGAAGATGTAAAGCTTTGTATGGTATGATGTTCCCAATCCAAAAAGCGGATTCCAGAATAAGTTATATAGTCGTGCACATTTCCTATGGACACCTTTTGGACAGTGATCTAGCAATATACATTGGATCAAAGCCAATTCTCCGCAATATCAATTTTGTGTGATAGCGACATGAAATGAGGACACGCTGGTAGATGAGCCTACTTGGTAAATGCCCATAGTATCTTACCCTTGGAAGCATAGTTCGGCATTGAGCCTGAATAAGCGTATTCGGCTTTTTGAAGATATCAACAGCACTTAGAGGATGCTTTAAGGTTATATGCAGGGGTAATGGCTACTAGTTTAATCTATATATTAAGGCAGAAGGCATCGAGTTGACTGCAGGGTTACATGCCGTAATAGTCACGGCCGTCGGCTCAGCGAAGCTCACTTCGGCCCTTGCGGTATAACCGGGCGGCAAAATACCTGATGCAACTAACCCCACCATATAAAACCAGAAACCCAAATCACACATAGTCAAAATTGCTCAATTCAGCCAAATAAGGCTTCATACGACAGTAGAGAAGCTTTAATACAACAAGAAACGTTGCTGAATATATAGCCTACCGGGTTTGATGTTCTACTACAGCCTCAATTCACATTATAAAGGCCGGAAGATCTGCAATATATAATGCATATCTCCCAACATACCTTGACATGAGCTGCAGATATATGTGATATCTTCGGCCAGCATATTGATACAACAATTATCGTCAAGCTTTTTCTTCTTCTTCTTTTAAAGCCACTATTACAAACATGACGAGACCACGTTCAATAGATAATTCTGCATTCATGTAGAGCTCCTGATAGTGGGCTGAATCCCCGTGTTCATAGCCCCATACAAAATCAGTAGGCAAGATAGAGTAGCTTATAGACGTAAGACAGCAGCAGTAGTTTTTTAGTTGAATTTATTCCTCACAGACATGTTGGGCCATTCTGAAAAGGAGTTGGCAATTCTCATCATGTCCTCTGTAGAGTATCGACAGTTTTCCCACATATTTTGAGGGCATTGCAAACAGCACTGTTACCAGTTCCACCTTTCGGGATCAATGGCAAGGTAAGCCAATGGTTCTAACTGAATCATAAGTAATAGTTGGAGTATGTAAAAACTCCCATATATGGTGTCCGATAGCCTGACATTCTGGCTTCTTTGTTAGCCAACTAGTTTGGTTTCAATCATATCATCAGAAATCTGCAATTGAGTAAAGTTGCTAGGTTGAACAGAGTCACATACTATAATCATATCTCCTCATTGGTCGAAAAGTGCTACCCTAAGCTGGCGGAAACTGCTCCTTGTCTACTAAGAGGAAGTTTTACAGTATGATGTAAATTATAGGCGTTTTCTTTTTTTTTTTTTAATCTCAATTTCATTTTACAGACATAAAAACCACGTCGCTCGTTGAATACTGCACATATATTGTCACAATATTGAGCTAGCTCAGAGCAAAGAGACTCCTAGGGGATAATAGGAGATCCAAAAAGTAAACGATGCGACGAGAATTGAAGGCACAAGGATGCAAGATATATATCAATATATTCTTCTATGTTATTCCAGCCATATGTCGTTAGAGCTTCTTTATCACTCTGTTACTTTCCAACCAGACCCTGTACTGTCGAATTCCGGTTATTATATACCCCAAGTTCATGAATATCGTTATGGATGCTGTTGCATGACAATTGCCCATTCGTTTAACAGTTGACGGCGTCGATAATGACATCATTGCCAAACTTGTCCTTGATCAACTTGACATTCTCTTCCGACGTCCTAAGCTATAGTAAGTAATGATGCCACTTCAATAACATGTTGGAATGTTTGAACCTACTTGAAAGAGAAGACAGGAACTCGGGAGACAGTAGAAGGGACAGTTTGGCCGATGAGAGACTCAATGAATCTTTAAAAGATTAGCAGTATTCGCAGTGCTATAAGGAATGTCACATACGTCTCAAGTTCGTTGAGATCAGCGGTCTCGTGGGGGCGGACTTGAACACTTTGCTGCAAACATGTTAGATGGGAGGATATGTTTCGATATACTCATGTATGCATACCAGAGCCATTGTGAATGTAAATTGATAAGAAGCAAAAGCGAATAGTTTGGTTCGGAGTGTTGATTTGATGGGGATGTTGTGAGATAATGTGAATGTTGTTGCAATACAGAATAAAACATCTCCAGGACAGTTCACTGTGGCCTCTTTTATAATTCTCTCCTGATTATTTTCAAAGTGCGCTAACTACCAACTGGGACCATGCAATATTGACGTGGTGGCCCTTAACCAAAAATGTATCCATTTCTATAAGCCACATTGGGCAGCAGTATCTACGTGGCAGCATGCGGCGCCAATAAGGCATGTAGCGCGCAATAATAGGTGCATTTGCCAGCAATCATGCGCTGTTGTTCGCACATGCAGGACTCCTGCATCACTCCTGCAGCAACTAGCATCCAATAGGTTTCGTTAATATGACTCGCTTGTTAGTTCCGTGGCCCGCAAGGCCGCTTCCCCCCTCTCTACCTTTGCTATTGGGCCTTAACCCGTCATAATCTTCAGGCTCCTTAGTTCTACAGGCAGAAGCATCGTGCATGGGAGAAGCACGTCCAATTATTCTTCGCGGCCTCATTCGAGAGAGGCCTGCTAACCGCCCAAGTCACCTCTACTAGCAACAGAGCTTTTGGGCGTGCTACCAAAAGAGCTCATCAGCGCCCGTTCATATTTCGTGGAGATCAAAGTCTCCTCATCGCTTCAAACTTCAGGTGGGGACGACGGTGCAGGGATGGGCGGTTGGGCGCAGTACTTTTCATCACGGAGGCAACTCGAGTGCTCTACACAATTTGTATGGTGACTCTTGTCTGAGATGGGGAAGCGGCTGACGCTCATGGCCTCGTAAAGTTTTGTTGTTTCTAAGAATCCTTTCATCGCCTTTGATGGCGTGAAATATTCCTCAGTCCAAAATGGAGACTGCTAGTCCGTATAGCTTGTGTAAGGGAAATCATCAGATATAACTGGAATCTTTGACAATAAAACAACAACAACAAAAAAAAAAAAAAAAAAAAAGCCATAGTATACTTTGAATGGGCTTGGACTCGACGTTACACCCCCCCTTTCCCCCTGAGTCTGTTTGCTATGACTACCAATAGAAGTCATAGAGAAAGAGATCCTTGCAAAAAAGTTGCGATAAAGCAAATTTCTCTATCAGCAAATTTGGAACACATCTTTTCTTGCTGGCATTATTCGGCAAAGCGGATCTTTCTCCGCAGGATATTTAACATAAAGCCATCATCTTATTGAACAATATTTGGCGATGATTTTCGTTGGGTATTGTACGTGTTGACGAAGATGAGGTGGTTGGTGCATAGTCCAGGACTTCGGTATAGCCCGCTTGGGGGTCAAACGATGCGTAGCTTCACTACATCCTATTTGGGACATATTTTCTCCTCCTCCTTCTTTTTTTTTATGCCAACACATGGTTACTATGCCCAGAGTTTGCCCTTCCTCCTTGGTTAGGTGTTCCATGGAACGGTTGGAGTTGGAAAGCTATGTCTCAGTCGAGCAACTTACTCATCGGGTCGGATGCAAGGGCGGCGCCTATAAGTATTAATACGAGTACGACACTGTGGTTACTTCGAGCCAACCAGTATGTTTCACAACACACATCTCCATAATGTGCAACCTTTGGTTACTAGCAACGCCTGATTCTGCCGTTTGACAGCTTAAGTAATCTTTGTTTCACGCACCGTAACTTGGGGCTTGCCGCGATAAAGACGAATCAAACTATTTGCTTCAGTACAATAAAAAGGTATGGCTAACAAGTAGGTGGCAGAAGTGGAAGTAGAGCACAGCTATGATGGCAAAAGATAACTGTGCGAGGCTGCTGGCGTATCTGTGACGTCAACTTCAATCGCAAGCGAGCGTCTTAATTCCATGGCACGCCTAGGAGCTGTTGAAAAACTTCTTGTCCTATAACTGAAGTGCCATCTCTTAAATTTCTTCAAAAAGGGATGATAACTTGTTTAGCAGAATGCAGGGCCGCACGCGCCGCATCTCCACCAAGATTATCCGTGCCATCGTGAACGGTGAAAATGCTGAGACGGAACAAAAGGCGCGATCGTTATGTGCACAGCTCATACATTACATATTCAACTTTTTCTATATCTGGAATTTGGACCTGAAATTATACCGAGGTGATGATTTTCTTGCTCTAAGACGCGACGTGTGGCATTTGAACAATGGTGCATACACACAATCTTTTCAACCTGCAGACGAGAGCCCGTCGCCAGGGTCTAATGAACAGCATACGACAATTCTAGTCCCAATGGGGAGCCTTGGATATAGTGGCTCTACATTTTTTGAGAGTTTGGACGGTAAATACATTGTCAAGTCTCTGGACAGACACTTCGAACATCATTTCTTCACGCACGAACTGCTTACGCCGTATCTGATCCATATGCGGGAACATCCTGACAGTCTCCTGGTGCGTATCACTGACCTGCTGCAAGTCTCGCATACCACTCTGGGAGGCATATTCGGCACTGAACCAACACACCATGTTGTCATGGAGAACCTCCTTTACGGCACTAGGCAGGCTGGCGATGCGTCACATTGTGAAACATATGATCTGAAGCCGAAGGACTATTTTTTTCCGGAGCGTGATATTGCAAATGGCAACTTGGCGTCGCAAAGTGTGAAGAACAAACTGGTGGATCACTTTCCAGGCAAAGTGCAAATATCGCATGAGGCTACGGAAGAGCTGATGGCTTTGTTGGATACAGACACAAAATTCCTCGCCGACTTCAATGTCTTAGATTACTCATTATTCCTTGTGCGCTATCCCTGCACAGCGGAACCGCCTTATGCTGGGCCGAGTAAACCGGCTGCTCAAAATAAACTGGCGGCAAAACCGATTGACTGTTGGAGAACAGGCGTGGTCTCAAGTGACGAGCAATGGGTGTATCGTGCCGTTTTGTTGGACTTTTTCTGGGCTCGACATAAGTTTCACGCGAGGACCATGTCTGGCATCGTTGGGGCCTTTAACATTTGGGCCGGGCAAGGTCCTATGACAATCACTACGGAACCGTTTGAGTACAGGAAGCGCTTCATGAAAATGGTTCAAAAATTGCTGGTAGGAAGGGAATGCGATGAATAATGGGATCTCTGCGACTACTCCTGAAAAATTTATTAGAAGCCAGTATTCTCCTCACAGCGCTCTCGATTTTAGTTCTAAATATACACCGAGTTTACTTGTGAGTGCCCACAGTTCAGGCAGAGAGCATACCCGGCATTCATGACTATAGACTCCGAATTTCTAGAAGATCTTCCACCGGATGACAGTGTGTAAGGATACTACTGCTTAATTCCCGATATTGTTGAAATACCTAGTCTATGGCTTGGAGTACATTTTAATAAAGGATATTAATTCACGATATTTTCTACGATCAAGATGAACTGCGGAGACCCCTGTTGGACTGTGGACGCTAAAAAGAGGTGCGCCAGCATCATTTCTGTAACAAGCCCACGGTCAGCGAGTATGATGTTTAGCTTGTTCACTCATTTCATTTCTTCATTTGATATGATAAGATAAAACCGTTATGATGTCGAGCATGAGTCAGAGATATGTCATACTCATTAAGGCTAAGGGCAAATGTCCAGGGTCATCGTTCACCAAAATGCACTCCTAGCTGCTACAGATCGACAGATTGAAGCGCCTATCACTTAACCTAAATAGAATGAATGATTTCATTTCGCTATGTACTGATTAAAACAAGTTTCTTATTTTTTTCTATTTCAGAATAGCCAGAATTAACATAATAGTCTATCGACACGAGAGCGTTGCCCAACTTTATCGATTTTTACCTTTACATCTATATTACCTTCTTGTTTGGATCTTCAAAGACTTACCATCCATCATGCCAAGACGGCGCAGCTCTGATGAATATAGCGACGACGACATCCGCTATGGAACGTCCCATTCCCCTCCGGGCCGGCGTTACGATTCTACCCATCCTGTCGAAGAAAGCCATTTTCGCGAAGTGAAATCGACTGCTAGACGACCTGGGAGGGAACGGGTCGTCGACTATCATGACCGGCAAACTCGAAGGCATCATAATCACCATGGTGGCAGACATGGGCAGGATGAAGCAATGTCTTACCGTGAGGTACGGCAATCTGGTCGTCGTGGCCGATCCCTGCATAACGAAGACGATGTCGAATACCGACGACGTGGAGATCATCGTCACCATCGGTCTCGTACTCGGGCTCGTAGCGAACACCGCCTTGTGGAGGTAGCGACAGCGGCCCTAACAGCGGGTGTTACGGAGGCTATCCGAGCACGACACGACCCAGAGAGATCTCGACGAGCCGTTACGGCAGCTGTTAGTGCCGCAGCTATGGACGCACTTGTGAGCAAAGATGATGATAGGAAAAGAGGACGCCACATCGTGGAAAGTGCGGTCGGTGGGATGATAGTTGACCGACTAGCCAACGGTCGTTCAAGGAAATAGTTTTTGTAATCCGCTCAGCAAGATCGATATGCCAACTTCTCATATGTACTCTCGCAATATCCTTATATTACTTATTATGAATCCGTAGCCGAGAACGGGTGTCAAACAACAATCACGAGTTCATGTGTAATCTGTGATCTCGATATAAGAGTACTACAACAGGTGATCCAAACTCGATATCTATTACACAATACGTCATCGACCCCCCCGGACACTATTTTTGTTTTACGGCTGTAGAGTTTTGACGAAGCCATTGCAAACCCGACAACCGTAATGTTGATGCGTGCACTTCAATTAGCTTTAGCTTTGTATGTATTTATCGGTTCATGATTTGCGCGGAATTTGCAAAGATGCGATACTCCCACTAATGCCCTGCTAATTTCTAGCAACATAGCCGCTGTTTCCTTCCGCAATGGTCTACGACACAGGGTAAACCACTAGTGTAACCCATCGGCCATTGCTCGTGGTCTTCACAATAGCATAGTGTTCACGCTGTATAAATAGTTTTGACATATTCGCGTGATTACTATAAGTATTAGAAGAATCAATACGAGTTATGGTTATTTTGAGGCAGGGGATTCGCAACGCGAAAACGAATATCGGGCGATTTATTGGTAATAATAAGTCAAGGATTCTGTCACACTCTTTGGCTCACTCACTTCGAATGTGAAATGCGTGATGGCAACCCAGGCAACGGCGCGCGATCAGGTATTTTTCGCTATCGCACAGTCTTACCAATAGGCTCCATCTGTACCAAAAATGATATACTAATGAAGCAATCTATAAACTGATAATATAATGGCAAATGAGTTCGATGGGAGTGCCACAATTCACAGTTCACAGGAAGCCGAATATTGCCTGGAAATTATGTAACGTGCTTCCACACGTTGAGAGAGCGCCTTGTGATCATTTTCCCAGTGAGCTGCGTCTTCCGCTAGCGACAGGGTCAAATTTATTCTGATCGTTGTCTTCTTATGTCTTCTATTTTGATCAACCCTGAGGCTTATATTTGCATTGGTTGTATCTTTTGAGGTTTGTAGAATCGTAATTGACTCTACTTAGTTTGACGCGCCGAAAAACTCGGCTACATCGCGGGTTCCTTTCCAAACACCGTTGGCAATAGTGTCCCCCCCAGGCTTTATTTACGGCGAAATCTTTCTTGTCATTGCGTTCTGATTGACATTGATCAAATCTCATGGATTTAAACATTTGGCCTACACCGAAAGATGATGAAGGCTGTTCTTAAACGTTGCCTGCCACCCGAAAGCCGTCAGCAAGTCGAGAATATGCTGGAGCCCCTCACCGCGATCCTGCCGAGCTCCGGTTGATAGCTACCGAAAGCCGCTACTATCCCCTCCGCATCGAAATGTTTTACGGGGTTTCTCCCCTGATTGACGCTCCCGTGTAGGCCGAGAAGCAAGTTTGTGGAGTGATTTATGCCTTGTTTGAGCTAGCTACAATGACGACCTGTCTAGGTTGAATGTCTTCATTGGAAGCTTCAGAAGTACTATGTGTATTCTCTGATGCTTGCCGTGAACCAGTCTGTTTTAGAAGGCTGGCATCAGGTAGAATGGATATATAAGCTCAGCAGTTCCCGGATACTGCAACTAAACATCGAGTTCTTCATATGTTTGACGTTTTATCCCCCTCTGCCATTTTGTTTGTACCAAAATGATGCGCCAGACTCTCCTAGCGGCTCTCTTTCTGTACCAGCGAGCTACAGCAACCTCTGATCCCCCGATTAGAGTTGCAGCTCCTGGTACTGTGCCTCCTGGAGCATCCCAAATTGTAGACCATGCTTTCGCCTCTTTTTCTTTTCCCGCCCATTGGCTTCCTGATTTTGCTGGTAGGCTGTTTCTGAGCATATCGATGGGTGACTCCAAGCTAATCCAGCCCCAATAGGAAATAATAGTCACCCTAATTTATTCTCCCGTGATATCCTAGATCTCCTATACAGCAAGACTGGGAAACATCCTTATATCCGAGTAGGAGGCACTTCTGCGTATGGTCCGCCTGTCGACAAAATATATCCCCAGTGCTAACATCTAGTGCTAGCGACCGCACATATTACAATGCGTCTCAAGAACAGTCCATCCTAGTCGAGACAGGCTCCAATGGCATTCCGTCAGCAGTCTACGTTGGACCTGTGTACTTTGAAGCCTTGAATAACTTTCCTGGCTCTTTGTGGAGCTTCCAGGCTAATCTCGCCAACAATGCTAGCTGGGGTCTCAACAACACTATGGAAGTGTGCAAACATGTTATGAATACTCTTAAGGGCAATCTGATCGACTTTGAGATCGGAAATGAAGTAGACCTTTACCCATGTGCCGTTCGACCTTGTGGGTATACAGTCTATGATTATCTCCAAGAATGGACTACCTATGCGAATGCAATCTCGGAAAATGTCCTCAAGGGAAACCGCTACGGTTTGGACGAGCAGAGGTTCTTCCAAGCCTTGGTGTTTGCAAATGCGGAGTTGAAAACTTTCACCACGTCAGCTAAATCACTTCCATTTTCTCTGGAGATTGGATGTAGCTAATTTGAAAGCAGGCCAAACGCGTTTAATGGGGGTATTGATCTGACCGATCATGTCAAATCCGTTTCTTTGCACCAGTATGTCATGGTCAAAGGCTGTTATACATTATCCGCTAACTGAGAGGTAGCTATGCGGCGGGCAATCAGGGTTGGGTTAGACTTCAAGGTCAGTTTTAGGCTTCTTTGTTCTTCTTTTGGCATCGCGTCTAATGATCCATAGAAACATTCATGAACCACACTGCTGTTGTGGCTAACCTTAGCATCTATTCCCCCGCCAATGACTACCTGAAGACGAACTACCCAAACATCACTTTCTTGCTGGGCGAGACAAACAGCGACTACACTAATCTCTTGATGAATCAAGTAGAGGGAGTGTTCGGCAGCTCCCTATGGCTAATTGACTATCTCATGTACGGAATGTCTCTGGTACGTTAATCCGATTCATCTTAAAATTTTGAGTATTGCATGTTGATAAAAAAAAAAAAAAAAAATAGAACATCACTCGTTTTAATCTCATCCAGGGAACTACGTTCGGATATACGGGCTGGGTACCTGTGCCCACTGGGAATATGCAACCCTATGTCAGGGCACCTCTCTATGGTCAGATTGTTGTGGCAGACGTAATCGGCCACAACCCTCATGTTCAAATCTTGCCCATTGATCTTGGCCCTGAGCTTTGGAAGTTCTCCGCGTATGGTGTCTACGAATCATCAAGGTTGAACAAATACGTGCTCATCAACCTTGATGAATGGAATTCTACAACTCGATATTCTCGTCCAAACCAAAGTGTTACACTGAAGTTTCCCTCCGGAGTAAAAGCCGCCAAAGTACAGAGACTTGTCGGAACAGGAGCCAGTGCAGACTCGGACATTACTTGGGGTGGACTTAGCTGGAACTATACCCATGGGCGGCTCGCGCAGTCAGGTCGACCTCACAACGAAGTGTTACACATTTCCAAAGGCATGGCCAAATTGACAATTCCATCAACAGAAGCCGTTGTCGTCACACTGGATCGATAGATAGTTACTATATCTCATTTGGAATGACATAACGTCTGCTATGCTACGCCAACAGATGTCATACTCCGTAACGTTTGAAATAAACCAAGCTTTGGAGAGTTCGTGCATATAAGTAAATTCCATTAATCTGCGTGTCCAGTTTCGGTATCCGAAGGTCAAGACTGCTTTGTGAGGCAAGGATTGAACGGTAGATTGGCTTTGAAACGGATTTTGTTGCTTTAGATCCAAGCTCCTACAACAAAATGTCCTGATATTTATATTTTCTGGTGGGGACCGCAAATGGAAGTCCATACGCTGACAACTCCCGCTTTGGGAAATGTAAACGTAGGGCGCAAACGTGGGGAGAACAACATAGTCCTTGCTCCATACTGTCTTAGTGAAAATTGTGAAGTCCTAGGAAACATAGTTCCAGCGGTCTCTAAATTTGGCTGTGAAATATTGGTTCTTGCAGACTTACATGATAATTGTACCCATTGACGTAATTTCTTAATCAAGGCTTGCAAACATTTGTAATATTTTAATATTCACTCACTACAACCGCGCCAATGACAATCCATGATATCGTGTACTTGGGACGTGTTTGTCCTCTTTGTCACCTTATTGGATATTCTTATCATTCGACTACTCTTTCTCTCTTTTTCTGCTTATGCTTGCGCAAGAAAATTGTGGACGCAAATTTGCATGTCTCCATATGCCAAGCCTCTTGAACGTTGTCGGCTGACATTTCTGCCGGATGATTTGTCTCTACGGCTTTGCCAAGACTTTTGTGAGCTATAACCACACAACATAAACGGAGTGATGGAACTAAATGAGGAGATATTTCGTAATTCCTTATCAAAGGATTTTAGATTATCTCCGTTTACTTTGGATATCCTTGTATCTTCATTGTATGAGTAAACCAAATTCATGGAATTGGGAGCAAAAGTAGGAAATGCCAATATCGCATGAAACTGTGTCCAACGAGTTACTAGTTGTATAAAGGCAAAAACATAGTTATACTTTAAGCTTAAAAAGTATCTGGGAAAAGAAAATGTTTCTTAGTTCAGCACTGTGAAACACTTATTAAATACTAAGAGAGTTGTAAACTCAGTTACCAAAGACCTCGCAACCTCTCGAGGATAAATCGGCATGCTAGTGCTTATTGTCAATCAGCCTATTATACAACATTACAAAATAATGGTATGGGTGAAGCAGAAGTGATTTGAATAGGAAGGTGGGTATAAGCGTCAAGAGAGTTTTGGGAAGTGATGTAATGCTGAGGCGAGCAACGAGAAATGTGGCTTCAGATTTATATAAACAACTTGGTTTCATGTCTTTGATACAGAAAAGAAGTCAAACTCGAATAAGTTCATAGAAAGAGAGACTCAACTGGCGCAATTCCTACCTGGATTCTGACTCAACGCTCTATTTTTGCCAAACTTCATCTTTTTTATTCTATTCCAATATGGCTCCAGCACCTTTGCTGTCTTTTATCTTTGGCTTAGCAGGACTCCTCAGGGTCACCAATGGATACAACTTTGCTATTGCAGAATCATACACCGTAATCGACCATGCAGGCGGCGTTTCTGAAACTCAAGACCTCATATTCATATCTGATGGTTCTGAATCTCCGGGTTGCTGTCAGTGGGAAAAGTCCTCAAGCCTTAGCGGATATCCGATTCTGGACAACTCTTTTGGAGCTTATGCATGCGGAGTTGATATTAACTTCTATAAGAGCGGGAACGACTTCGTCTACTACAAAAACAATGGTGACGGCACTGAGTTAGGCAGATGTACATCCAACAACGCACCTAGTGGTCAGGTTACCGCATCTTGCCTGGGCTTCGGATCTGTGCAGACCATTTATATCCAATACTCTTGCACAAATTACAACCAGGATGTGAATGGCATCAACCCTTGCACACCTGCTCAACCGATGAACACGAACTGCTCGTAGCACACTACAATCATTTAACAGCCTCTTGTGATTGCAGCTGCTGTTCACTGTATGTATGAAAAACATAGCTGCAAAGTTGCCAAACTAATTTCACTCAGTAGCATTCACAGAAGTCTCTCGTCGATTCGATGGATCGGAGTCTTGAACTTGAGAGGTTGTTTGTGCCTTTTAAGGGCGGAATGCAAGCGTCAATAGTGTCTTGGAAACAAGGAGAATCTCCTCATCGTTATGGCCTGAGTAGCAACGCTTGGAAAATATATCTGTGCCTGACTATGTCAAATATGTAACCAAGTTGATATATTAGGATTACTGTTTGAATGACATTACAATTTCCACACATTGCGTCCTTCCTGCAACATTAAAAATTATGCCACAACTCTTAATTGCTAGGGACAGCACCTCCAGGGTATATAGTCTGTCCTCCTTTACAGAGATTACATTGCCACTCAAGGGAGGTATGTGAGTTTTCCATTACTATTATAATCTTGGCGAATGCCTCATTAAATGGCATAGACTTTCTCATAAAGCATCAAATACATGTATAATCATTATGCAGATTTAAGATCCACATTGAAATCCAGCTACCTATTTAAAGGTATCTTAAAAGACATAGCGGAAGTTTGGATTCTCTTTATCTGTCAAATCTTCCCATGCGTGCACCATCCGGTCATCACGCGCCTCGCGCACTCCGGCAGCCGCTAGGTTATCTCGCTTTTTATTCTCCCTCGAGAGATAGAAGCGCAAGCCTAGAAGAACTATAACAAGCAAGCTATAGCATCCTAGATGGGTGGCAAAGGCGATGAAGTATCGGGGTGCATCCCAGAACAGGAAGACTTGAGGGCCTTTTTGGCATTAGCAATTTACAAGCCACTAAACGTCAGTGTATCGAGCACTCACCAATTGCGTTACCTGTTGCCCAGAAGATAAAATTGAGCGCTACTGCGGCACTCTTTTTCGTTTGTCCAGCGACATTTCGTGACAGTAAAGACAGCGCTAGTGTTTGAGCTGCCCAGAACGACATGGTAATATTGTAACAGACAACAAGACCAATTTTTTGACTTCGGGTAACGATCGGGACAGTCATAAGGCAAATGGTTCCAATAAAAGAGCTAATTTGAATCAAGGTTATCAGTTTGACGTTGTCAGAGATTGTATAATGGCGAGGGACACTCACGGAATGATAAAACCAGTCATTATGTAGAGATTTTGGTTTGTTCGCTTAGCCAGCCAGGTCGAGCCCAATAGCACAATGATGATATAGAATCCAAGGACCATCGCCAGTAACTGAGTCTGGAGAACTGTGAATCCCATGCTCGAAATAATGATGCCCTGGAATGCACCAAGTCCGGAGGTGGGTAGCGTGGTGCAGAGCTGGATTAAGCAGTAGCCCCAGATCTGAGGGTCTTTCAGTGCTTCGATGAATTGACTTTTCTTCCATTGTCGATTTTGGATGCCCGTTTGGTTATCACGGACTCTCTCAACCATAAGTCGTTTGTCTTCTTCGCTGAAACATTTGGCTCTCATAGGTGAATCAGGCATGTACCACGCTACGAAGAAGCCAAAACAAACGGAAATGACCCCATAGATGAGAAATAGCCACTTCCACGACTTTAGGGGTCCCGACTGAATAAGACTGAAACAGTATGCTAGAAGACCGCCAACGATTTGCTGAGCGCCGTTCATCATATACCTACGGTTTAAGAGATTAGCGAATCCTCGTGTATATATCTCAGACTCTCAAAGCTTACCAATAAGCCACACGAGCAGCTTGTTCTTCTCGTCTATACCACATTGCAGACAAGACAACGAATGTTGGCTGACAAACAGACTCAAAAAGGCCAAGGAGAGTTCGAACAACAAGCAGCCCAGTAAAATTGGTGCAGGCAGCGGTGCAGGCTAACACCGCACCCCAAGCCACAATATTGAAACCGAGATATTTCGCGATTGGCACCCTCGCAATGATGTAGTTTTGAGGATATTCGACAATAAGTATCGTGATAAAAACGCAGGTTGTCAACCAGTTATACTATGTTTTCCAAACTAATTTAGCACATGATTGACTTTGACCATCAGATACAGGAGCTAACTCACGTCTTGTCCAGACAAATGAGTATCGGTTTTAATGCCCATGATTGATGCAAAGGACATGGTGCCTTTGTCAATAGCTTGTAAAAAATACGTCGAAATCATGACGACTAGAATACGCCGATCGATTTTACGGCGCAGCTCATCGTTCTTCTCCGGGCTGATGGTGATTCTGGCATCGGTAATGTATTGAGCAAGTTCCTTGTCGACTCTTCCGTAATCTGTATGGTCTTTCTCAATCTCGTTTGACAAAACCGTCGCTATATTATTCTCGATTTCGTCAACGCTGGGACTGGATTTTGGTGGCGCCATTGTGAGATAGAGGCTCAACCCTCCCCGTTCTGGTATCAAATATGGTGTGATTGAAGCAAGGTTATAGGCCTCATGAGCGGCTCGTTGAGGAAAGGTGAGGCGACAGCCGGTATTTTATTTATTTGAACGACCCAGCAATCCTGCATACCGACAGATGCCAAGACCTTCTCCCCGCAAATGCAAAATAAAATCTGGGGTTACGCCGAAACTAGCGACTTTCCCCAAACTCTGCTGTGGAAACGAGCTCTGAGAATGAGCTGATGAAGCTTCGAACAGCTCTCGCTTCGATTTACACCGAGCATCAAGATGGTGGAACTGAGTATAGTCCACCAATGAACGTGAAGCGACCCTTTGTTGTTGGAAGACTTTCCCTCGCGACTCGTAAATTCCTCCCCTGTGGCGTTGCGGGGCAGATGCTAAAAGGCGCAAACTATGGAAAACCCCAGCTTATGTGGCGATTGCTCGCTTCGAAATGAGCCGAGCCGAAGTTGGTAATTCCGAGAAACTAGGATTCACCGACGGGCGATCTCCTCCGAGCAAGACTCAAGCTGCCTAGTGTTATGTGTCATGGTCTAGCCACGACTCACTTGAACTACTTCCAAGCGGCTTCTACTCGTGATAAATACTACTCTAAAGGCTGTCTTTTAACGATTTCCAATTTTTCCAACTGCCAATTTTCCCAGCCATTACCTGCAGCCGACTAGCAGTATGCCACTCACCGCCCATGGATTTGACGCAAAGGAGATACACTCCAAAATCCAACTCCTCATCCATGGACTAGTCAATATAAAGGATGAGACCGGGGAATTTCTCATGACTCTTGCCGATGGCCGAGTAATAGACACGAAGGGGTGGAATGACTGGGAGTGGACACATGGTGTCGGACTTTACGGGATATGGCAGTACTACCAGGCGACAGGAGATCCCAAATATCTTCAGATCATAGAAGACTGGTTCCAAACCCGATTTGCTGCTGGCGGTACAACCAAAAACATTAACACAATGGCGGCCATGCTCACCTTGGCTTATGTTTATGAGAAAACAAAGAACCCTACATATCTCCTCTGGCTCGATAGTTGGGCAGAGTGGGCATATCATGACCTGGAGCGAACAAAATACGGAGGAATGCAGCATATCACGTACTTGGAGGAAAACGATCAGCAGCTGTGGGACGACACCTTGATGATGACTGTGTTGCCGCTGGCCAAGATTGGACTTGTGCTAGATCGCCCTCATTATGTCAAAGAGGCAAAGTACCAGTTTCTGCTACATATTCAGTATCTATTTGATGCCAGGACAGGCCTCTTCTTCCACGGATGGTCGTTCAACGATGGTGGCCACAACTTTGCGTCGGCAAGATGGGCACGGGGTAATAGCTGGCTTACAATTGTGATACCAGAGATTATCGAATTGTTAGATCTAGCCTCCGATGACCCGTTCTGCATTCATTTAAAATCCACGCTAGCTGCCCAATGTGAAGCATTAAAAGCTTTTCAAGCACCAAGCGGGCTTTGGCGCACTTTACTGGATATTCCAGAAGAGGATGGGTCTTATCAGGAGTCCAGCGCAACCGCTGGCTTTGCATTCGGCTTGCTGAAGGCACAGCGTAAGCACTACCTGAAGGAGGAATACAGAAATGTAGCATTCAAAGCAATTCAGGGTGTTCTGAGTAATATCAACTCCGATGGCCAACTGTTAAACACATCATTTGGAACGGGCATGGGATCAGATTTGGAATTTTACAAGAAAATTCCTATTACGCCTATGCCATATGGCCAGGCGATGGCAATCTTGGCTCTCGTCGAGTTGCTCAGAATTTTCATTTAAAGTAGCATCGGTACAAGGTGAAAAGGCCTATTAATAAAGGTATGCTTATATAATATTTTGGAAAAAACGTGATAGCTCACGACTATTTAAGAGCTATTTTGTAGCGAGTTTCTAAAGATTCCTGATGTGTTCGGATACAATTTGTCCTCCCACCACTATTCTCTTATTGCTAGCCAGAATCTCTCAAATACTATTTATACACAAGGAAACAGTATCCAACTGTGTCTCATAGAGACATTCTGTCGACCCTTTCATTTTACCGTTAATAACACCCTGCCCCTGCGGCAGTAGGCTTTGATGAGCATAGGCAACTAGAGCATATTAGGTGGTTTGGCCTGTATCTATTTTTGGTACATTGTGAATGAGTCGCTGTGTAAATTATCCAAACGAGTGTAACGAATCGAACTTATGTACTCTGCCATCTTGGGTGGCTCACTACATAATGTTCCCAGTTGTAACCTCTTCGTTGCAGTATACCTCTGCTCTTATGCCTGGATGGGCGAGCCTCCAAATCTTTCATCCGGATTGAGTTAGCTGTTCTTTATGCATACCTGGGCTAGGTCAGGTTGTAACACATACGCAATTGCCCTGTTGCATCGGATACCATTCCTGTCTTGGAATATGTACCGAACCAAAATGGCGGCAAAATCCCGCCAAAGCTTGACGTTGCCGCATAAATCCGCATAAATTGTTTTAAAAAACTTTATTGCGAACGCATCTCAATTGATGATTTGTCTTGTCTGTTCCTTGCCTTCCACAGAAACTATGGGGTAAAGGGACCGTGATATTAGCCAGTACTACGCTGACCGGACAGATATTTCTTCCGTGATACATTTTGTTCCGGGGTAATGGTTATTTGCGGGCGTACATGTTATATTGTACGCAAGAAGCGATATATCTATATATACGCCATGTGTTCTCTCCTTGAGAGCAAACTAGACACTGCATTTTCGTTCCATCAAGTATAAACAATTATTGTTCTCATATCACCTCGTTAAGAAGACAGTGCTTTGACAAAATGCAAAAAACCGTATGTAATTATACTTCAATGTTCCCTATCCCTCTCTCCTGTTTCTGCATCAAGACTGCACCAAGAGTGCTAACTCCATCCAGATTCTATACCTTCTGTCAGCTTGCTCAGCTGTTCTCGCCCAGAACCCTGTGCTCTTTGACTCTTATACCGATGCAAGATGTGCTGGTGGAATCGTTGTTGGGACCACAGTTGTTCAGCCAGGCGATTGTACCAGCTCCACTGCAGCGTTTGCCAGTGCTCAGTATAGAGGCAGCCAATTCGACAATGTTCAGCAGCCTGTCTCATTTTATAGTGACGAGAATTGCGTAAATGAGATTACGGGAGTCGCAAGTGAGCTGGGCGATGGTTACAACTGCTTTACTTTCAACAACGGCCAAGCGAAGAGTGCCAAGTGGTTGACATAGGGATCACTTTAGCGAGCACACACATGCTCATCACAATTATTTTGTATGGATGTTGTTATGTAAAAGAGTCAACGGGTCTTTTGGGTAACGTGACATAGCTCTTACTTCAATGGATACATTCATAACACTAAATCTATGTGTGATCATGCAGCCAACGAAACGATACAATGAGAACTCATCTTGCAGGTTATCAATACCCTTGTGGCAACGATTTCAGGTTCCCCTTCCTCCAATTGATGTGATCTGCGCCCTACATTATTATGTCAGCGACTGTGGCCTTCCAAGTGGTGTGAGCAAGGTATTTCCCAGTGGTGCCTATTCGGAAGCATTTATTTAAGCATACATCAGCAATGAGATTCTTATTGAATACCTTACCTGTGTAATATCGCCGATGAGTGGGGGGCATGTTTAGCGGGTTGGGCATTGTGCTTACACTGTTGCAAACAAACTACGTGCCGCGCGCTAAGAATTTCTTGAAATCTTTTCAACGCTACCATCGTTGGATACATATGAGAAATAGATCCCATATCATGCTCTCAGAACCAGCAGTAAGAACTCTACATGAATCAAGTGGTCGACGCATTGGAGATGGAGAACTTTTCCGTCAATACAATCTTTCAGCCCTTCTCACTCACTCGCTCCAACTTTTATGAAGGAATCTTCATCATCTTTAGCCAATGGATCATTCATGACAACCGTGTTCGCAAAGAGTATCATCAGGCCGTTGGAGATGCTATCGATAATATACTTGAACAAATTCATGCCGACAAAATCACACTAGAGATGGGCGCCCAAGATGCGCATCAGATGCGCAACGGATTCTTCCACTTAATGCGATACAACACCTCGCCAATTGGGCTCCTAATAGCGCACTCAATCCATGCGACAACGCGCCCATATACATACTACCTGGAGAAGAAATCCCTCTCTGCATTTGGAAAACCTTCAAAAGATCTGAGTTTAGACCAAGCAAGGGAGGTTATTATGAGCACACTTATTAGTGCCAGGCGTCCAAGTAGAGCTGTTACTGATATGAGTAAAAGAGCAAGTCTTTTCTGCAAAGGAGCGATTATTACCATTGCGGCTAAATCTCTTTATATGGCATCATTCTCAAGTGCCAAAGCCATCGATATCGCGAGACTGGTAGTCTGGGGATCAAGTCTAGTGATGGTCGGCAGATTTGGGATTTTCATTACAAATAACTACATGTCATGGAGAAGTTCGCGGCATAATAGAACGAGGAGCGACTAAATGTTTAGTTGCAATCTAAACGATTGAGCAAGAATAAGTTTATAAAGGTCACACAGGGTCGATGTTGTCGGCAATTTCGTAGGTGTCTAATGGATTGGCAGCTAAACTGCGCTAAACTGTAGAATGCTGTATCCAACCAAAGAATTTAAAGCAAATAAAGAATTTTGATGTTGACTATATATCAGCCATCAAGTTATGTATTTCTGACCTATCGACCAGCTGCTGGTACCTGAAATATATATAGGATCCATCAAATAGAAACTCAATCATCCGAACACATTTTATGAAGCCCCACGGTCAATCGACCTACAGGAATGACGGGTTCGCGTTCGTAAGAAGCTGCACGAAATAAGCCTGGAACCAAGAACCGGCTTGAGGTGCTGGCTGCAAAGCATCTGCAGAAGCGCAGTGATAATCAAATCGTGGTGCACTGCTATTGCTAGTACCGTCACACTCGCCACCTGGCTTGACCCAGACGAATGAATCCAACAGTGAGTCTCCAGTATTGGCAGAAGGGCGGATACCAAATCCAGTGCCAACAGCATTGCACCAGTTACCCCACTCAAGCTGCCCAGTTGGCTGCTTGCCAGACCGACCTTGGTCAGTGATGAAGAAAGCGTTTGACCAGCCGTGGTTGGCAAGAAGGGGTCCGATGGCATGGATATACAGCTTCTCATTGTAAACAGCGTTTCCTTGAGTGTATGAAGGGGGAGTAGTAATATTCCACGCATTGTAGTTAGCCACGTTAGTGGCCAGTCCACGGACGGCTCGAGGAGATGACGCATTCTTGTAAACATTTGCGAACAACTGGGCAGCTGGGTCTTGGTTTGCTGGCCATCCAAGCCATCCAGCGTGGCCAGCATCCAAGTACATCGCAACATTTGGAAGGTTCAGCTGCGTGATGGCGTAATTAATGCATTCCAGGTATGCAGATTGGGCGTTTGAGCACTTGGGAGTGGCGAGGTTAGTAACCAGGTTTGCAAGAGAGTCGGGCTCTGGATGGAGGCATAGTTAGAATGGATTCTAGAGAGCATTTGGCTTAGAGCTCTTACCGATAACCAAAAGGATGCGAACGTCGGAAAAGGTAGTGACGATTCCACGAATGGTATCGATGTAGTTCTTGTATTTGTCCACGCCACCATCAGCGATGGAATATTCACCATTGGAAGCAGCGGCGGCACAGTCACGATCCGGCAGGTCGTAGACCACAAATTGTCCAGCGTAGTTGCCTCCAGCCTTGTTTGCGGCACGGATGTCCGACAACGTGGAGCTCATCAAGGGAGTCTTATCCAGAGTGTCTCTGCAACAGCGGTCAATATGTTGAAACATTGTGTCATATCAAGAGTACCTACAGCCACATGAAAGATGGAACCTTTGCCACAGCGGCCGCAGCAGTGGCCATGGCTCCTGTCAAGCTTGGAATTGCCAAAGTGCTGACTTCAGAGGCATAAAAGGAATTGGCCCAAGGCGTGACTCCAGCAAAGGGGTTACCCGAGTATGTTGCCGTTCCCGATCCGACTGGCGGCGCTGGTGTAGTTGAAGAGGCAGGAGGGGGCGTTGAAGCGCTTGATCTAGTCGATGTTGCTGACGACACCCGAGAAGTCATCGACGAGGCGCGAGTGGAAGAACTTGAGCTTGCCGCGCCAGGAAGACACTGGGAGTAGTAGTCATTGGAATACACACAAGTGCTTCCGGAAGCACAGCAGAACGGTCCAGCCCAGTTTTGGCCACCACATTGACCCCTGGATATGAGTTAGTATTATTTTTTCTAGACAGAAAGAAACGCTTAGTGTAATACCAAACACTTGAGCAAGACTGTCGTTCCTCAAGGGGAACGCTAGCTGCCAGTGTGGCCAGCGTGGCCAGAGTCGCAAGAATGCCTACAACCATGATGATCTCCTTTGAAGCGGCTGGTGTTGAGACTGTGTGGGATCATGGTAGAATATTTTGGCATGATATAACCCATTTTATAATCACGGCGATGTCTCTGTCTACTTGTCCCAAGGTGTCATGTCAATGTAGCATTCGGCATCACAGGATAAAGCCCGGGGAATCCGCAACATGCATAGCCTTGACTGGCGGCTAATAAACTCCGTCTCCGCCTCAATACATATTACCCATTAAATAAGCTGGCAGAATGCACGGTCATTATACAAAACGTAGCATTACACATAATATAGCCAGAGGTTGCGGCTAAAAAATTCCATAGTCTGTGTGTGATGCTGCGATCCATGCCATAATTGGTGACCAAAAGTCAACATCGTATGCTATGGTTACTGAATGCGGAATGGGACGTCCAATAGAGGCTAATACGCTCGATTCCCACCTGACAATACGTTGGTGTTTTCGCGAAGACAACCTAATATGCAGTCGGTCCGAGGGAGAAAGACTAGTAAACAGAATAGCCGTTAGCAAGTCTCTTCAAATACTACCTCGCAACATGTCCGATCTTTAGAGGGCATGGTGAGGGCATGGTGTGCGATATGTTACGCAATCTCGTGGCGCATCTCGTAATAAGATTGTTGTAATAGCCTGAGAGGTTAACAGGCTAAGCTCAGCTGAAATGGCTTGAGATATACCGTAATGACGCCTACGTTCTCTATGTTAGCGAACTCTTTTTACGTGGCGAATAGCAAAAAGTTTTCGAAATGAATAGAGCGAGCATTACAAACAATATGCCCCACTGGCGTGGAGGACTTTGATACCATATCAAATAAAACTCGCAAAGTGATCCTTTTGATACAATCAGACTGTTCTAGAACTATCTGGATTGACAGGAAAACTATGCTCGCGACCGCGACTGCAAGTGGATAGCACTTTTCTCAAATGTGCCTTTGCTTTGCTAACGTTAATGCGAACGTGGTAGAGATTTCATGCACTGACAGGAGCCTGCATATATTATACAATTATGGCTGCTGTTGTTAATTAGTACGAACTTCATATTGAAAGAGGGAAGAGTAGTTGCTCAGACGCCTTGTGAGACGTTGGCGACTTGCTTGTTGGGTAGCTAGTGATCACACAGATACATTAAGAACATCCATGCCATATGGTCTTCATAAGTTCAGACTTGGTAACGCTCTTCAACTCTCTTATTGATAGTCACATACAAGAACATATCCAGTGTAGTTAGCTATTCGATATGTGGAAGCGACAAATGGTGGCCGTTATATACTCACCGTAGAATATCGGAAAGCTTTTGTTGGAAGAGGTTAAAGATAATAATAAACGAACAGAGCATTTACTACGCATTGGAGTCGTTTGTAAGATCTAACTACAGCTCCTTCGTAGAGAAGCTAATTGTAATGTGGGCTATTCTATTCAATAAAACAAATAGCTTCTTTTAAAGTCGCGTAATACGCATTGATCGACACCTCAATTTGCATGTGATTTTACAAACCCCTTGCTAGATACCACAATACGGCCTTCCAATCTATTTATAAAGTACTATAGCAATGCAGTATTAGCTTTAAACATACCAAGACGCGATAAAGCTATTGTTATAGTAGCCAGCGGATAATAATTATAGATGATTCGGCATCGCGTATCCATTGATAAACGGCACATACATCATTTGTGAAGTTTCGTTGACGCACTATGCGGCAGACCCACTCCAATGAAGAAGGATTACAAGATGCAATAGTACCAACAGATTTGTTTTATGTATTTTGGTGTCATCTTCGCCGTTGTCGCACATACAATAGTGACGATTATACAGATGCCACAAAGCGGGGGTGCCTGAGCGCTAGATTAATTGGGGGGAGTGAACTCTGTTCCCCGAGAATAGCAACGACAACTATGGTACATTGAAATAGAGATATATGTTTGATATGCTTGCCAGGCCTTGGAGGCGATACATGTCAATTGATTCCTGGTGAAAGGTATGTCGAGCAATCTATTGGTTTTAGTAAATTAGTTTCACAGAATGGTCTTGAGCTGGTCGTAGGTCTTAATACCACGTGGGCGGGGGAACTTAATGCACACCATCCACAGCCGCCAAACATTTTCTACACCGCTCTACCACTTCAATACCTATGCAGCATTCAACTAAGACTAAGTTCATGTACCCAGATTGCAAGGCCTAAAAGGGTCGTTTGACTGCTCGCATATGAATGCGATAGTTCATAGTCAGAGCCACATATACGTAATAGCGCATGGATAGGCTCGCAAAAGGGCCTTAAGTACGCAGAAAGTTGTATGTGTACCAAGCTGATGCCAACGGACAGGAATAACAGGGCACTATCTCGGCTTATGCAACGCATATGACTTCGAATAGATCAATCTTCTTCCTTCCTTCTTCCATCCAAGACCCTGAGTACTCATACGGTTAGACATATCAAACGATGAGGTACGGAGCCACCCCCAAGTTTTTTTTCTAGGTGGGTGATGGGGAACCTCGAACACTACCCCAATAGCTAATAGCCCCGCGTTTCGTTTCTTATAAAGGCATCCAGCTTCCATACTGTAGAACGAGACGATAATTTATTCTTAAGACAATACCACGGCCTTACGAGACAGGTAGAGAATGGATTATGTTCGTACGATTCTTGTAACCGTTGGCAAAAATGGTCCAGCGGCTTGTTCAGAAGATGAAAGAAACGGATATCGGCGATTCCCGGTATTCGCATCAGTGGAGAATATACTGTGCAGTACAACCAGCTGCCCCTCCACGTGGCGTATCTGCGCTCTCTAGCTGGATATGCATCCCATAGCACAGCTTGCGTGACAGATGGTTTGTAAAAAGCAGTAGGGGAGGGAAGATCGGATCGGACCGGGCAATCGGCTCGTGCTTGTGTGCAGTACTATGGCTGCCTTGCCTGCATATTGTTGGTAAAACCAGAGTGAAGAACAGCATTGCGCAGCTGCGTAGCCATTGCTGAAGTGAGCAACCGTTATTGGCATAGCTATCAGGACATCATTCTGCAGTGCTAAACTAGCATTATACCCGGCCAACACTGTCAAGAAATTTATCACCAAGCCAAGAGTGTCCCGCGAATGAATGGGCTAATGGCCTTATTTGTGTGCAATACCCAGCGTGACGATATCTTGAAGTAAAGGGTAAGCTTCCTAGTTTTCTATTGAGGCACATCAGCGTTCGTGACATCTCCAACTTATGCCACTAAATTTCTCATGGATATACTGTGCAGCTTCGAAAAACCGAAACGCTAGTCGTCATTTACAATTGCGAGAGTGGTGTAAGTTTGCAAAGAGGCAAGGGATCCCTTTGGTCTTTGTACTTAAAGTACAATCGCAATTTTCACAGAATTAAGGAGCAGTCGAGTAGCGGAAGTCTCTAGGTTCAGAAATACTTACATAATGATGTACGGTGACTTTTCCGCTGGGTGTGTTACAAGATCTTTGTAAGTAAGCTTAATATTCCATTGCAAAATATGCTGTATGCTTACTTATGTGGACGCTACCATGATTCGCAGAACGGTGAAAGGCGTCTAAGCCTAAAAAGAGAAGTATATCCGGTCAGAGCAAACCCCACTGTAGGTACGAAATTTACATGGATGCTATTCTCTGATGTGAATTGGTAAAGAGCTGTACCGTAACGGGTTCAGTAGTAAATATGCAGAAATCATCCTGAGCTGCAAGTATATCCCTATTTATCGGGCAGCTTTGCCAGTAAATTTTGAGATTCAAATTTTTGAAGCGCCTGAATTCGATCTTATATCCGAGCGTCCGCAGAGGCAGATGCCCGATGGATCATGGAAGAGTATCAGCGATGCCAGTCCTTTCACATTTGCAAGGACAAATAAATGTATGCCCACATTCACTGAATTCAATCCCTCTCTTATACTATAAAACGGGAAAATAGTTACTGTAGGCTTCCATTCGAGAAAGGTGTCTTTACCGCAACGAGACAGGGTAAATATCATGTTGTTTGTTGTTTTAGCAGTGGGGTTGCAATCTTTCAGCTGGCCAGCAGCCGAGTAGTCCAAGGGCGTGCATCACTAGAAAGCCCACAACGAGAAGATTTAACCCATGGCCAATATTCGGCGATAAGCAAAAGGTCCAATGCCTGAGGAATAATTCTGCTAGCTAGGTGGCAATAATAGATGTGTATTTGTTTGCCTTTCAGCTATCGTCTGTTGACCTAACTGCGAAGGGAAGTTCAGAAAATTGACACGTGGGGATTTGCTATCCAGCTCTAGGCATACCAATCAACTCTTGGCGGAACTTCGGTGTGCGAATGCAGCCGTAAGCCTTGACAATAGTTCTATCCAATGTGGGCTAGACCCCGAGAGAGAAAATCTTTCAGCTGTATATAAGAGGCAGGTCTTGCTGATAAAAGATATAATTCCAATGGTAGCTCTTTATCCAAAAAAAAAAAAAAAAAGGCCGTTCCCTGACTGCTCGGAAAAATGGGATTGAGACAATTGCTGGTTGGGGCGGCCCTGAGCGCTGGCTCCGTGATGGCAGCCTCTGTGTCATGCGCCATGCCGTTAAGCTGTCATAATATCTCGGCTGTGGCTGATACTTGCCGCTTCAACTACCCCGGTGGTCAACTCCTTCAAACACAATTTTGGGACACTAATCCATCGACGGGACCGAATAACTCGTGGACCATCCATGGCCTCTGGTAAAACCCGCTAAAAGGCCTCTCATTTTTTGAACATTCTACTAACCACCTTCGTAGGCCCGATAATTGCGATGGAACCTATGAACAGAATTGTGATAATTCCAGAGCATACACCAATATCACTGCGATCCTTCAAGAGCAGGATCCTTGTACTCTGGAGTATATGCAAACATACTGGAAAGATTACACAGGCAACGATGAGAGCTTTTGGGAGCACGAATTCGGCAAGCATGGCACATGCATCAGCACTCTTGAACCCAGGTGCTATCCCAATTACCAGCCTACTCAGGAAGTCGGCGATTACTTCAGGAGAGCCGTCACTCTGTTCCAAACCCTCCCTTCATATGATTGGCTTGCCGCAGCTGGCATCTTGCCATCATCAACAACTACGTACACTCTGGCTGCAATCCAGGATGCTCTTACTTCGCATTTCGGCCACAACGTCATCATCAACTGCAACAAGAATGGTGAGCTTGACGAGTTATGGTATCAATACAATGTCCGTGGTTCCGTTCAGTCAGGCGTGTTCGTCCCCGTTGACCCCGTTGGCGCACCCTCTACTTGCCCTAAGACTGGCATCAAATATCTGCCCAAGTATAGCACCCCTACATCGACGACAACCACCAAGTCGGCTACCAGCACCAGCACCAGCACCACACGTCCGACCATACCAGCGGGTGTCCTTTCCGGCAAGGCTTACATATATGTCGATACTACTAGCACCACGAGTCCCGGGTTCCTCATCAGCAAGGGCGCGTGGTATCGCGGCGGCGGTACCCCAGCTACGTACACTGCTACACCAAACGCTGACGGCACGACATTTTCTCTGAACTCTAGTAAGGGCAAGTGCGCAGTCTTGAGCGACTCTTCCTTTAGCTGCGATACCTCCATCACTGCCGGCAGCAGCTTTGCCTATGATGGCTCGCACTTGACGTTCGAAGGATCATCAACTTTCTATGCCACTGAGGTTCCCACTGGGCAAGCCCAGGGTACCGTGTTTACGAGTCCTCAGGCAATCTCACTACAGGTTACCTGGAATCCTTTATCATAGAGAACCGCCACATGTAACGAGTAATGACTAGTTTTGATATGGAATTCGAGGCCATTCAAATGACCGTGGTTCAATTATTCAAGATTTCCTCCTTACAGCTGTGAGAGCCTACTGCTAGCTGGAAGTTGAACCTCAGAAAGTAATATTAATGAATGCTACCTTAATGAAGAAAAGAATAATTTGTTTAGCCGCAGCTTACTAGCAGAGACTCATGTATTTGGGAAAGTCCAACAACAGGCTATATCTTGAACAGTGGGATGTGATTCTACATGTTCTTGTTCACCCCTTCTGTGCCTATTTTTAAACCCGCCAGAACGTAGATGTTTGGAGACGAAAGATTTGCCAATGATGAAAATACGACCCTAAACTCCCAAACGGGTTAAAAAGAGGACATCTTGCTGTATGTCGCAGTAATATTTCCTCTAGGCGTGGTGGGAAAGTAGAGCTTCAGCGCTCCGGTTGGATTCCCAATAGAGAATACCCCGCGGAAAATAATTGGCTACACTTTCATCCGAGGCGCAAGGGTACATCCTGGAGACTCCATCACCACATCAACGCCTGGGCTATTACTGCGACTATTACCGAGAAGTATTTCTAAATTTGAAAGATCACCCCATATTGTTGTCGGCGCAAGAGAGACCTCTCAATAATTTATTCGATGGATTGCCATAGATCCTATTATTTTTTTGGTCAATTCGAGCTACAAGCTTGCGGCGATATAGCTAATCTCGTTCTTGCTAAGACTTTACGCTGCCACCACCACTTGGGTCTCGCGATTCCTCCAGGTGAACAACATCTTTTCCTTTCAAAAAGTCATCCAGCTCTCTGCGCTCCTCATCTGGGACGTCAGTAACATGGACTGCAACATCGTCCCCGAAGCGTGCCGATATTTCTTCCAATGACAGTTTGGCTGTTTCAGGAAAGAAGAAATACACGACTGGGATAAAGAAGATACACCAGATGATGATGACAAGATAGTATTTCCAGCCAACATTGACGATTCCAATCGGCGCAGTTTGTAGGAGAATGATAGTGCTGGAGAATTGTCCGAAAAGAGAGAACCCCATGCCAATGGGACGAATTTCCGTAGGAAAGATCTCAGCAACATATATATACATCGTCGTATCGCAACCGGTTCTGTTAGCATCCGTTAGCCAATGGTCTTTTCTCAAAGAAGGGATGGATTTTTAGTATTGTATACAACAACATACCCTTGAAATGCAAGGTATAGAAAAATGAAGAATACCCCCGCTGCATTACCAGCCTTTTTCGATGTCCCTGCGAATTGGGCCACGCAGGCCGCGAGCCCGCTGGTGGTAATTAAGCAGCCGAATAGACCAACCATAAACATCCACCTTCGCGAATTGACTTTGTCATGTAGCCAGGCACCAAATGGGTTGTAAATCAAGCCGGCGGTGGTGAGCCAGAGTGCGGAGAGCAACAGAGGCATGTAGCCCGTTTGACCTAAATTGGTATATAATATGACCGAGTAATTATTCTGTTAAATTAGCGACGAATGCTAACAATGAAGGAGAGTAGACTCACAATGATAAGAGGTCCAGCAAATTCGGCACCCCATTGGGTTAGAAATCCAATAATCATTCTTTTCCGATAACTTTTCTTCTTGATCACCGCCATCCATGGCCCGCATCCAATAGCCTTTAGCCTTGCAGCGTCAAGTGTAATCTGGGCTCGGATCTGGTAGAGTTCCTCTTTTGCAGCCATGTTTTCTTGGTCTTCTGGCGACCTTCTGAGATTCAACACGACTATCCATGCTTCTTCTAGCTTGCCTTTCTGCAAAAGCCACCGAGGTGATTCTGGGATCCAAAGTGATGCTATTAGCAGCACCAGAGGGCCAAAGCATTGCATGCAGAGAGGGAAGCGCCATGCAAAGTCCGGCTGTTGAGATGTGGCAAAGTAGCACGCAAATCCAAGCCAACTTGAAAGCATATATCCAAAGACAACGAAAATTGCGTGGTGACCGACCAGCCAGCCGCGCTTCTCAGGTGGTGCCAACTCGCTCATATACATAGGGCATACTGTTACCAGGATGCCAATGCCGACACCTGCCAGAAAGCGTCCTGCCTGAAACATACTTGAGATTTTTAAATACGGACACAATTAGCTTAACGTCTTCATGTTTGGTTATTATGATGATGGAGTCAAGCCAACGTACCCGATATTCACGGCACCCCCTTGAAGAGCGCCCCCAAGGAGAGCGAAGAATCCCCCGATTTGGATAGACTGCTTCCTTCCCAGGGCCGATGCTGCCCACATAATAAACAGAGAGCCGATAGCACCACCAGCGCTATATATACCATTGGCGGTGGCAATCGTCGAAGTGGTTTTTGTTGCATAACCTGGAGTGCCACTTGGGGGAAGGTCAAAGTAGGCATACCATCCCGGCTGGCCAATCGTACTGCCAATAATTGAAGAGCAGTATCCGTATGTCTAACATCTTAGAATCTTCTAGTATACTTGATCCAGTAGCGGGAGGCTTACAAGAGAGCCAAAAGCGACCGCGACGGTCACTAGGCGATTGTAGAGTGTAGCATGAGAGACGACCATTTTGAAGACGCTGAATCAAAGCTGTCCGGCCCAGTCGTGGCCAATATCATATACTGCAGTTGTTATCGCTTTCTGTTCTTTGGGGTATCTGAAAATTGTGTGTGGAAGTGTAAAAGGAAAACGGCAATGCTGTAGGAAGGCTGGGGACTGAAGGGGCTCCATGGCATCATTATACTCCTGAAACAGGAAGGGAGGAATGCAAACGCATCGCTCTGGTCACACACGTTCTGGACTAATCAAGCGTGGTAACGCAGCATGAAACCATTGTGCCAAGCGCGCACAGCTCAGTGGCAAGCAGCTCGGAGCGTACCACTCTATTGAAATGCTGGAGGTGGGGATACCCACGCCAACGCGTAGACGAGGTGGTACACTCCGCCTGGGGAGCAGATAGCTTCCGTCTGCTAATTTGCGGAGAAGCGGGGGGTTGCGGTAAGGATCCTTGGAATGAGAACTGGTAATTTGAAAGAGGTCATGACAACCCAATCAATAATTTTCTCTCACGAATGCGATGCTAACATCGTAGACTATCCTGTGAAACTCCTCTCGAGGTTATATCATAAAGATGCATACACATTCTATATCAGATATTGAGCCCATTGCATTGTTACAGGAATCCCCAGAGATTCCCGTTAACCTGAATTCCCTACCTTTCGACCGTCTCCCAAATCCCCGCCAGGTCTGGCCATTTCCTTCTCAATCTGCCGAAGAAGGCTTGGGCCGCCTTGTCCTTCTCACCCCTGATGTCGTGGCATCTGCTGCTGCATCATGCATCAAGACTGGCCGTCGCATTTCCCTTAACTGGGACTTAACAAAACTAGATGTCGCCAATTTCAACAGAGCCCCGGCACAGCACCACATCATTCCTCTACTTAATGGTACTGCTTTTGACGACCTCTATGTGTTCAATCCACAGCAGTCTTCACAGTGGGATGGGCTGCGCCACTTCTCAGCTCCGTTTCCCACGAAAGACAATCCCAAACAGAGACTGTTCTACGGCGGTGTCACTTCGGCAGAGATTGAAGACCGAAAGAATACGCGCATTGGGATACAACATTGGGCAAAACAGGGTATATGCGGCCGAGGCGTGCTCCTTGACTATGTTTCGTATGCGGAGCGACATGGGATAGAGTACAGCACTTTTTCCGACCATGGAGTATCACTGGAAGTTCTTCTCGAGATTGCAAAGGAAGAAAACATCAAATTCCGCCCCGGTGATATTCTCTTTGTTCGCATCGGAGTTACGAAAGAATGGGATACCAAAATGACTCCGGCGGATAAGCTTGCTTATGCGCAGAGTTCAAACCCTCTTCATGCAGGTGTTGAAGGCACGGAAGAAGTTCTAAAATGGATTTGGAATACAAGATTCTCTGCTGTTGCGAGTGATGCCATATCCTTCGAGGTTTATCCTCCGAAGCAATCATACCGGCGCAATGGAGACCAGGGAGATGCACCCGGTGTATTTCTCCACGAGTATTTAATTGCTGGTTGGGGTATGCCCGTTGGAGAATTGTTTGATCTGGAGGAGCTCAGTCGAATTTGCAAGGAAGAACAGAGATGGGAGTTCTTTGTCGTTGCATCACCGCTCAATATGCCTGGTGGGGTAAGCAGCCCTCCAAACTGTATCGCCATTTTTTGATGCATAATTATATAGTTTACTTCATCTGTTATCGAGCTTATTCGATAAGTACTCAATGCCATCAGCAGGGGAACTATGATACGACATCTATCTAAAAACCCCTAGTCTCAAAAACATGAAGAATTTTGCAAAATTTGCCTGCCAATCCCCAACAACGTAATCGTTGCATTAAAACTTGCGCGTCACGACTCAAATGAGAGGCGCAGCCGTCGTCAAATACATTCTTGATAGATCCCAAACCTGCCGGTCCTCCTGTGCCGACCCAGTCCGTAACAGAGCGCTTTCGAGATGTGTTCTCGTGGCATGGAAGGTCCAGCCGCAGAGGTACTTGGTCGTTGGCAGAAGACGCAAACCGTGGGCCATATGTGGAATAAGCCAATATGAAGATGTAAGCCATGAACACGCGCATGATTTCGCATGGCGCCGACACCAGATACTCGTTAGCGATGCCAACGATTTGTGCAGCGTGCCAAAGGAGCATTCTGCCCTTGTGAGCGTCTTGTGTGAATGCGGACCTTAACCTCATTTGGGCGACTTCTACGTTATATAGACTCTTTGAACAATCCTGCGATATGTGATGGCGAACTATGTAGACAATGGCATCCATGATATCCTCAGCAGCATAGAGGTGGGAGTAGTTGCAAAGAAGGCCAGATATGCTATTAGTTATTAGCTTGTTCTTCTATGAATTTGTCAAAATGTTACTTACTTGTAACTAATCAGTTCAGGAGTGTTGGAAGGGGAGGACATGGAGCCAAGTAAGTGGTTAAGAGAGCGCAGTAAAAGTTTTTTGGATTGTTGGTGCGCACCGAGGAGGGATGGAAGACCGAAATGCTCCGGCATTGCCACTACCTCTAGCTGCTTCAAATCCCACAAGAGGCGCCCTATGACCTGCGAGCAGAGTCTTCGAGCCCATGTCCCCAGGGAATTACTTATCTGTTTTCCTGAAAATATGTCTTTCAAAGTATCTGAAAGGCTTGGGGAGATGCTAAGATGTGATCGGAGTGCCAACCAAGCTTGTGCTGAGGTAGCCCCCCATAGTGATTCGTTACAGGGCAACTTTCGAGGCAGTTCGCTCAGATCAATAGCTCCTCGGCGGCTGGTAAGAGTACAGAGGCTGCAATCGTATTCGAATGCGGCCCAAGCTGCCCTGCGTTCGTGTTCTTGGGTAACCCAAGATAGCCATTGACGATTCAAAAGCCCCATGTCGTTTCCAGCCCCAGGTAGTTCAGTACTGTCTTGGGTTTCGTCCATGATGCCCCATGATGAGGAGCCTAAAAGGCCCATGCCTCGCAAACTTCCAATCAAAACACCTCTGGAACGGTCAGCATTTTGATAGAGTTGTCTATTTCCAGATCCTAGAGAGTAAATCTGATGCAGGCAGAGCGCGTTAAGATAAGAGATGTCTCGGTAATTCCCTCCATCTGTAGCACCCTATGTTATACTTGTTTAGTGCGTGTAATCGTGGATGATTTACTTTGTCCAGTGCAGTAATGACTTACCAGCCATGAAATCATTGGTAGGCAGATTTCACTAAGCATCGATGAAAGCTCTGTGTCCTGTTCATCATCTGAGAGCAACGCTCCCACGCAAGCCATTGAGGTGAGAAGAATTGTCGGACAAGAAAACATGTTCCAAGTTGGCCGGTGGATAATCGGTTGGATATCGTGAAATCGCGAGAAATAAAGATCAAGTAGTCTGTGTAAATCGCCAAATACCTGAGGGGCATTAATATCTTCCACTGACGATAGATTCGGAAGATAGCCGTCAGAAAGAAATGAAACTAGGCTGTTCAGGCGCTTGTTTCGGTTGCCTGAGGTGCTTCTGAGAATGTCTCTTAGAGGTGGCAAAGAGTACCGATGCGGAGGTGAATCTCGGGCTTGGTCGAATGGCCAAGGTTGTCCTGTATAGCTAGATTCTAATGGATGTAGATTGTGGCTATTCACCGAATTTCCTGTTCTGCTTGTCGCAGTTGGCGGGGTGCGAGGGTGCTGAAAATGGGGTGAAGTAATTCTTTCTGTGTTAAACCCAGACCCAAGTTGATTCGAGCTGACAGGCGACTGGGTACTGGGGTGGTTCAAAATACTTGCAATGGCCCACGGTTCAGAGTTGAGACCAAAGTTCGGCATATCAACACTAAGCCAGTCAAGACCAGTCGTTCGAAAGTCAGGTAAACCAGAAATTGGATAAGTTAAGGGTACTCCCTCTTCGTTTCCAGGCATGTAGTCATTGACATGCGAAAATATCTCGCCAGCAACAGACTGTGAGACGGGAAATATAGTTGAGCTAGACGGCAGTGTAGGAGAAAATTCTGCAGGTATCGAGTGAAAAGATCCATCTTGAGAGACCTCGCAGCAGGATGAGGCAGCAGGCTCATCTCCCGAGTAAGATACTGGAGTTTGCAGGGTGTGTGGGAAAAGTTCGTCTTGTGCAGTTTCAGGTGGACTCAGTCTCGATGAGGTACCACCAAAGCCGAGATCATCCAGTTCTCGCTCTTCTTGTGTCGAGGGAGTCGGTTGTGAGTCTTTCTTCGAGTGTTGTGGCACATTGATGTTCTCGAACGCCAATTCTCCAGGTTCTGGCGACATGTACTCACACGGAACCTGGGACTCAATACACCCTCCACAGGGTCGTGCTCGTTCGCATTTCCGCTTTTTGATGACACAACGATAACACGACTTTCTCATCGATCGTTTAATGTTTGGCTGTTTGATTAGATGAGAGGCACGCAAATGCCGAAACAAAACGTCGCGTCTCGAAAATGACTTGTCACAGCGAGGACATGGTAAGACGGCTTTCAGGCTTGGTGGGAGATGGGTTAGTTGATGCCGATCGAGGTGGCTCGGGCGAGAGAATGCTTTGGTACAATGAGGACATTGTAGTGAGGGAGAGAGAACTCGTCGATTATTTGGCGGGGACATTGCTAGTAGACCCGATTCCAACCCTTAGCATGCATCGCTGTGGAAGAGAGGTGTTATCGGAGGCAACTTCACACAGGAGAAGAGAAACAAAAACACTGCTAGAAGATCTGGGGACTGCGGGGCGAAAAATTAATAAGTTCCAGTGCTTATTGGGTCTAGCTGGCTACTTTTAATGCTCCATCTCCTCTAATCCGGGGTGGCGCGTCCAGAATCTGGGGGAATATGGCTATCCAATTGGAACATGCACTTTCAGCCATCTTCTCCCTCACGACCATGTCATATATCGGTCCCTGCGGCTTGTAAGTGAAAGAAGTACCCGAATTTGTTGGCAGCAAGATATCCCAGCATGTCATTACCTCAAAACATTCTCAAGATCACTTGTCACTAATAAAGTGGCGACACACTTGTCAATTGACTTCCAACGTAAAACCATCCGATTTCTGGAGTCTATACATGTTTCACCCTCTTTTCTATTTTAATCCATCTCCCCAATGAATTGATGTCAAAGGATGCTAAACTTCAGCATACTAACTTCAGCATACCAATCACTTGCATTGCCCGAATCTCCGTAAAAGTCACAGTCGAACGACAAGTTCCTCGCCAGCATGGCTGTAGCGCCACTTTGCACATGTGCTGCTGCGTGGGAGTCCAATCTTGTGCAACACATAACTAACCATATTCTCTCATTAGCTCTCATCGCAAAAGGGGGAAAACAACGTTAACCACGTCAACACTGGTGCTTGCTGATTTATTACCAAACACTAAATAGTAACGGACTAGAGGAATGAGAGTGCTTCTGCGGCACGAAATACAGCGGTAAGCTCGGTGTACAATATGTAACCCGCAATCACTATACTGGAACAGACAGACGGGTAAAGTGTCTTCAGTACTCTCACCGCACAACATGTTATATTTTACATACAAATAAGACCGATGAGAGTATTTCCATTACTAAATTACATTGCAGATATTTGAATGAATTCCTCACAAATTGTGAATAGGCTGCTGCTGCTCTGTTCTCCGTACGTCTTGTGGCAATAGGGAGACGCAGTGGATCTTTTACCCCGCATTCCGCAAACCAATAGCACTGGGATTATCACAGGCAAATGCCGAAAATGAGTGGCACGCTCCGGTTCTGCCGCCGGTCACTCGGAGCGTACCACTCTTTTGCAGAAGCTGAACGAGACAACAAGTTAGGTTCAAAGGCCAAAAAGACAGAAGACAAGAGGCCACAAAAGACACTACAGAGTGGTTCGACTTCGCAGACATCCGAAACAGCGAGGGAACATATAGGCTAGGTTGAAGAGGGTATAGGTACGTGTGATATAATTATCGAATATATACGGATCCAAAAATTGAACCAAGCTCCTGCTTTAATACCTGTGCTAAAGCCACTACTCCTAGTAAATGATAGCATCGCCAGCATTCATAAGCAAGTTGGGTACAGTGTAAAAGGCATCTTGGGTAGCCTTGTCACATGTAAGCGCCGCACCGGAATTAATAAAGCCCCAGTGAAACATGTTCAACTGCCAACCTAGGTTATCCAATGCAAAGCCCAAGTTTAGTGCCGCCGTACGTGCAGGGGTAGTGTTGTCGTCTTGGAATCCAGGCACGTTGATGAGGGTATCGCTCGCATGAGTACCAGCAGCCTCAAACTTGGGAACCAAAGAGCAAATCGTAGCCGCTTGTGCGTCAGTGGCGGGGCCGATGTCAACATCGCCGTTGTTGCCGGGCAAGAGGTTCAGGGTGCTGATGAAGCTGTCTGCAAGAGCCTATTTCTTCAATGTTAGCCACTCCCACAGGACTCCTTGCTTGTCTTTGAACGCACCTGGTAAGGAGAAGCAGCATTTTCCTCGGTAAACTGTGGTGTGGCTTTCTGCAGAGAGGCTCGAAGATCTCCAGCGGCTTGGAGAGAGTCAATGACACTCTTGAGGATGGTTGTGGCCTGGTCCGCGGTGAGGGTGGTAGTGTCGGCAGCCGGAGCAGCACTGACACCGACAGCGGCAAAAGCCAGAGCGAAGAGGTTAGACCGCATTTTGATGAGTGTTAGCTATTTAAACTTTAATTAAGCTTGAAAGAGAGGAAAGATTGATTGAAAATGACGGTCAAGAAAGAACAATATCATGTCTACGGCAACGAGGACCCTATTATATAGATTTACAGCCTTGTGCTTTATAAATAACTTTAACCTTGATCTACCAGGATAGGGATCTTCGGAACAATAGAAGGCAGACGCGGCCAGTTAATACCCCGATATGATACATTTCGTCATATGTTCACTTATCCCCTCGAAGGCAATGTCTCATTGAAAGCACAACATTCTAACGTTGCTTATTTAGCCAGCTGCCTAAAAGGACTATGTTACAATTGGATCCCTTGCGCGGCCGCACGTAAGAAGCTTAATCGGCCCGATGCAGCATGCTGACAAACAATGTGTTGCAATCTTAATATAGCAGTTACATGGTAAGTCAAAAGCTTGGAAAGAAACTAATCAACGTGCGTGGGTATGAGAACAGTAAGGTGAATACTACATTCAGGGAGACCGAAACATAATAGGAAAAAAACATAAGCAAGATGTGTACGCCTTAATAGCCAACCAGTTTACTTCCATCATCTGGGATCATAAAATTCCTTCTAAATGCGCTGCGATTTCATCTCGTTGTATTTCAACAGCTCCAACAGTTCCTTTACTGCTCATCTGTATTTATACATGAAATATTCAGAGAAATATTGATACAAAATTAAACGCTACTGAGGGCAAACGTTGATACGCAATCAATTATGTGGGCAAAGTTTTGTTGCAATGTCAATAGCATGCTTGATGGTACGAGTATCATATCAGGGCTTAATCATCCACCATGGGACATTTCCGTCTAAACGCTATTCTACCAACGTGTTTATGGTGCTCCAAAACGACTCATTTAGTAAAAATAAACAACCTTACGCTCCTGGTGTACTCTGAATGGACGAGTGACTGAATATTGTTGTTCATCACTTATCATATATGAACATTTCGGCCATGAATTTCAGCAAGTGTACTTCAGGTAGTTAACTCAAAAGATACTCACCTATTCACAGTCTTGATAGAACGCAAAACTCAGCTATATATATCTAACCATAGTGTCGTGTTAAGGCCATTAAAGCGCAGGAGCATATTTTATTGCTATTTACGTATTATAGACAGATTTCACAACACGGAAATGGTCTAGGAAATGACACTATCTAACGTCTGATAAAAGTTAACTCCTTTGCTCTCTAGGTGTCGCTTGCCTTTTAACTAAATACAGTGTAAACCTTATGTAGTCGTACGGTGCAAAATAATCAACACATTGTTTGTCACTGTATCTCGCCAACCCTACAACCCCTTAAATCTGCCTCTTTATCTATGTTTTTGCTGCAGGAATGATAGTAATCCGGATTTACTCACGGATTACATTTTATCTTGTAGGGGTATGGGTTGTGTACGAGAACCCAACCCTTCGCCTTTAAGAGCGGTAAAATGACGGCAGCACTAACCCCTTGGCAACAGTACTACCTGGGTCAAGTAGAATAGTCTAGATTGCTACTGGTCATACCGTAAGATCCACTTATGTAATGGAAGGCAACTCAGAACGAGGAATGTGTGAGCCAGCTTTGTGTCATTGCTTAGTTCAACTACTACTGGTTGGACTACTAGCTAGTTAAGGCTACGTTTACCTCCGTACCTGTAGCATGTTCCGATACGACAAGGGAGATTAGTACTACCTAATGTTTCGTAACGACAGCTTACAGCCACTAGTTAGGCACCTCACGCGCACCTCGGCAAATATTGCCATCATAAGCAGGTGGTAGCTGTAGTCTTGCATTGCGAATTCTCCCCAGGATTAGCTATGGGAGCTTAACCCCATGGAACTGCGATCATAGAACTCAGAACCTTTTCCGCTCAAGATCTAAAGAAGACTATCTCCAATTTTTATGCAAGATTTCATTCTAAGAGAAGAAACATCTGAACTATAGGCATTAACTAGCAGAGAAGACGATGTGTGCCTGAGAGCATCGAACTCGAGAAATGCATTTCTGTCTTATTGGCCAATGTTTACTCTGAATCCGCAAACCGTATTCACAGGTTTTGCACCTCTACGTTGAATAAAGTTCTTCTTTACCGGGTGGCAATATTAGGAAAACATTCGGAGCTGTTTCCTCTCGTATTCGTGTTGAGTAATGACCCACCTCGAGAGGCAACAGATGAACAATTATACACCAACTTCTCAAATGTATATATCCACGGAATATGCGGACATTGCAATCCGCGGATCCGAGAAGCGATGACGGATGCTCTTGCAATTGGATGGAAGCTGTTGGGACTCAGTCGGTACAACAAGATTCCGGTTGCAAGAGAGGTCACTAGTTTGGCAATAGTCAAAGTGGAAATAATCTGTGACTAACCCAGTATAACCCAGTACAGAAGAAAACCTCGTTCCCATTTCCGTTGCAACACAAAGAAACAGATGCAAAGTGGTGTAGTATCTACTCATTTCTCCGAACTCCAGTTACCACTACGAACACTATGACTGCAAACGTATTGCGCGGTCGGGCTATATCGCCGTATTATAACGCAGAGAAAACCGACAAGGTGGTAGATAGCGTCCCCCAAGAGAACCTCGCTGTCATTCATAATGAAATTGTCCAAGGCTCAGCAAATTATCCTGTAAGTTCTTCAGCTATTTGATCACCATCGCTAATGAACTCGAGCAATGCGTATAGCCGGTGAAATTATGGCATCTTGACTTAGTCCACATGGTCTTTTTAGCCACTATAGGCTGAAGGCCGACATCATGACCACAAGAAGATACCCAACTGTGTGGATGAAAACCGGCGCCTTTAGTTGTAAAAGACGTATAATTGTGCTTTCGATTCCGCTGAATAGCAAATTGTATACACCGGTATGTTTAGCAAGACTGTTCCCAATATAGTAGCTAGGATAACTAGGCCAGATATATACAACGAACAAAAAGTCGATGTTGTCAATGGGCTTGGTACTGGCCTAAGGCCTGACGGGAATTTCAATTGAAAGGAATGTTTACCCCATCTCTGTGATTGGAGTTACTCGGGATATCTCCGAGGCCACTTACTCGAATGCTCAACAGAGAGTAGTGAAGTTATGCAGAGGAGTCGCTGCGGAATCGCTAAAGGTGCTCTTAGCAGAACACGGCAGCATGATCAATATGCGATTATCTAGTACTGACGCCGAGCTTTTGAATGGTGTACTCTGCTGGAGGATAAGAAGTTCTACAGTGAGTCTAAAGCTCAAAGAAGCTTTTATAACCTCAAAATTAGCCACAGGAGTCATTGCCTACAGGTGCTTAGTGCTTCGAATGGATATGGCTTATCAGCTCCCCACAGAAGAAGTAGCCCGTCTATAAGTTAGCGTTGGTCGAGGTTTTGTGGCTGCCATTAGTGACGCGGGGAAGTGGATGGAAAGATATGGACCCCAGCCATATTCCACACCCTCCCCCAAATATGCGAACCCGATGGACTACTCCAATTTGTTTTCTCCTCATACTCGGAAGACCGGTAAACGCACAGCTGAGTATGAAACTATCATTGTCACAACTTCATTTCTTCCTTGTATAGTTTCGCAATGTCTCCTCCCCGTAAACGCGTGAGGAGAACTTTCTCAGCATGCTGGACATGCCGTCGGCGACGAGTTAGATGCGACGGCGTTGTGCCGGGATGCACGCCATGTCGGAAGCACAGCGTGGCATGCGAGGGATACAGCGTCGAATTGGTTTGGGTCGACCCTTCCACAGGGAAATATCCGCCTTTATCTCGACGGTCACTTGACTCAGCTCATACGTGGGATGGCTGGCCAATCCTGGATGACGAGCAGCTAGAAAGGCTGATCGATGGAGATATTAACGGTAGCGGAACGCAGATAGGCCAGCTTGAGGCGAATCCCTTTACGGTATTTGAGACCTCCAATAACCACACAAGTCCTAAAAACTCCCCATACGAAGACCTCGTTCAACCGCATCATCGTGTCAACAGAAGAGATATCCATGAGGAGTCAGAATTGTCAGAAAAATCAGATTGTGCTCTCTTCGACGAAGGCGTATATGTTGGCAATTTCCCATTCGACGAATTAACATGCTTGGAACCTTTTTCTGACACCGTGGATCTTCATCGGCATTCATCGATTACCCTTGATTCGCCCATATTATTGGACACATTGGACTGTCTCCCGGATCTGTACGCACGTTGTGAGGAAGAACTCGCAAATTTGGGTAATGAAATACGAGATGTAACGGACAGCATCGCGGCTTTGCCTAAGAAAAGTCAAGTACCCCGCTCAATTTTGCCGATACCGAATACTTTCCGGTCGAACTCAGACGACGCTGCAGTATTCTATCATTATATGACTTGGGTGGCGCGCGCCGCTGATGGTTCCGGTTGATGATGCGGACAACCCGTGGAAATCAGTGTATCCGTCCACAGCTTTACAGGATACATCACCGGCGTCTTGCGCTCTATACCATGCGATATTGGCGCAGGCAGCCTTCAATCTAGCAAATTTATATGGCGATACGAATGACGATGGTCCAAAGAAAACCGCTCAAGGGCTTGAGCATTATGGGGCTTCCTTGCATCAGCTATACAAGTGCTTGGGCTCTTCAACAGAAGAAGAATACGATGCTTGTATGGCGACTCTCTATACTCTAGTTATTACAGGAGTAAGTCGTTATTATATCTTTATCATATATGTTCAGAGCGACTGACACTGACCAATCGCAGGCTTATGCTCGACAGAAGTTACCCTGGCGTGACCACTTTGGTGGCGCAGGAGGCATGGTGACCAAGTTCCTAGGAAAGCAACCGTGGGCACAATCATCACGCTCTTGGGTCATATCTCAGAGTCTTGCCCTTTCGTTCGAAATTGCGCAAACATCCAACACTCACAGAAGAGAACGATCCTCTATTACAGATACCTTACTGAGGGATGTCTCCTCAAGATGTGAATTTGGCTTCACTATAGGATCTTCTGGTCAGGTCTTACAAGTCATATCCAATATCAGGCTATTAGCCGAGCGAATGGCTACAGGGGACATTCCTGAAAACCCGGGCGAGCTGATTCAAAAATACATAGCCGAACTAACATCGCCATCAGAGAGTACAGAAGATTTTGACATCGAGGAAATCTGGGAAAGTACTTCCAAAAAAGACCGGGCGGAATATCTTCAACGGTTGCATCTACGACTATTTAGGAACGCAGCTATCATATATCTCTTCCGAACTGTCCTAAACGTTCCGCCACAGGGTGTCGTAAAATATGTCTCTACAGTTCTTCAAGACACACTCTCTTTCATACAGCTTCATGGAGGAGCTGTCTCCATGTGGCCTGTCTTCATAGCAGCGGTTGAGGCATACGAAGTAAAGGATCAACAAATAGTTGAACAATGGTTTGACATATCTGGTCAACTTGGCATTCAGAATCGTCGAACAGCGAGAGAGGTCATTCGCGCTGTATGGGAGAAGAGGTCTCAGGAGGCAAAAAATAGAGGTCTCAAGCAGAGTCAAATAGCAATTGACTGGAGGGAAGTTCAGCAATTTCTTGGTCTTGATCTCCTGCTTCTTTGATTGGTTCAAAACATTATTCATGGCCAATATCATATATCTACTGTATTACTACCACATATAAAGTTCATTATGATCGAGAAGAAACTACAATTCGCAACTGCGTAGCTAGCCAATGCAGTCAATCATTTCTCAATGGCTGACTTAGCAGAAACTTTGGTAATAACTGAAAATTCTGTGTACGTCCATATTCCTGATGGCGCCTAAGTAGAACTTGACTGGAAAGCCTTTTCCACAGCGATAGCCATATCCCCGAGAGTCTCATACACAGCTCCGAGATTCACTCTATCTTTCACAGCATCAAGATCTCCCATTCCCATACTCCCTCCTCCACGCGAAATCCAGACACCGGGTCTGAAGCCCATAGTAGCTGTCGGAATGTGGTCAAATGTAAGACTTTGTGCTGTGTGACAGATGCCGTCTCGATCGATACCGAAGTCTTGTTTAATATGGTCGATAAGGTAGGTAAAGTTTCTCGGGTCCGGCTTATATGAACCAATGTCTTCGGCGACGTATATAGTGTCAAAATTGACTCCTCTAAGAGGCCCAGAAAGTGTATTGGAGAAGGATACTTTGTCGACGTTGCTCAGTGCCACCAACTTATAGTACTTCCCAAGCGACTTCATAGCTTGAACGGTGTCTGGGAACGCCGGCCATGTTCCAATTGCGCCGCCAAATGCCTTGGCCTCTTCTTCGGTGGCTCGAACGCCGAGCTGATTGGCAAGCCTCTGGTAGAGCATTGCTAGGATAGCGGAGTATTTCTCGTTGGGATGTTGCATTTCCAGCTCATGTTCATTGACAGAGTACTTCCTTTTCAGGTAAGTCTTGATCTCCCCAAGGGTTTTACTCCATAACTCATGATCCTTCGGGATTCTGTTGAGCAGTGGCGCCAGCTGATTGAAGATGCCAGCTTCCCAGTCAATAAGAGTCGCATAAATGTCAAATGATAACGCTTGATACGATGTCAAATCGAATGAGGACATATTGAACGTTGACTCCCACAGTGATCTTTCGACCATTCCTTGACCGATCCCTTAAAGAGTAAAGTTTTAATCAATTCTGGGTCATACTGAAAGATATTAATACTGGAAATCCTATCGGTGAGCTCTCCGTAAATATGGCGGCGTAATGGAGCGAAGACTGATGTCTTATCTTGATAAAAGGGCATTTCCGTGTAAAGAAGGCCTCTTATCGCCATGCTAAAAGCCAGGCAAATTCTCAAGTTAGCCTTGATGTCATCTAATAGCGAAAGTGGAGAGCCACGACGAAGAGTGCATGAGCTCCACACCCAGCGATTGTTCAGGTTTGGGGCTTATCATCCTAACCATATTTAAGCAAGCCACCATTTCGGATGGAAGTCGACAACGAGCCTCGACTAGTTTCTAAGATAGTCTCATCAAGGCCTAGGGCGCTATCGATTGGAAGCTACACCTTTTTTTTGTGTCTGTGGACTACATCTGTATACCTATTGAGATATGTTGCCTAGCAAGGGTCGTCATGAATCTCTTATCAAGTACTTGAGATTTTAGAGATGAATCCCGTCTTTGTATGAGTTGACGAAGGCCAATAAATGTAGCACATGTTGCTATCACACAGACAGTGTTGAGCTCTTCATCCTCTAAGCCTTTTTTTTTTCTTTTTGTTACTCTACATCTTGAACAGCCTGTTGACAATGTCTCACGACTTACCTACCGCCCAAATCGACGCCGAAGATGGCCTTGCACCCCCAGTATCATCCGACGGTTCGAGGGATAAGGAGAAAGGTCTGGATCAACGGCAATCGGCCGCATCATTCCAAGAACAAGAAAACAGTCCCACAGAACAGCCTGAACAGCTCAAGAGGCACCTGCAAGGCCGCCATGTGCAAATGATTGCTATTGGTATGTAAAGACTCTCGTTTAGAATTATATGAAGTCGAGCCGAGAAGCTTACCGTTAATCTTAATACCTTCAGGTGGTGCTATTGGAGCTGGCCTTTTCGTGGGTGCCGGCTCTGCCTTGTCAGCCGGAGAGCCAGCATCTCTGGTATGTTATACCAGCATATAACTCAGTGATTGACGTTCTATCTACTAAACAAGTCGCGTGAAGCTTATATCCTTTATTATTGTTGGCATCATGATGTATCTCATGATGCAAGCTTTGACTGAGCTGGCCGTTCTCTATCCCGTAAACGGCGCTTTTTACACGTATATAGTACGTTTCATTGATCCATCGTGGTATGTAAGATTTGTTTCATTTTGTTCACTTCTTTTTGGTGGTTCATGACAAGCTGATCGAACTCAAGGGGCTTTGCAATAGGAGCAGAATATGCGTTTCAATGGCTTTGTCTTCTTCCATTTGAGATAACGGCGGCTGGAATCACGATTTCATTTTGGAGAGATGATATCAATATTGGCGTTTGGATTGCTGTGTTCCTTGTCACGGTGTCTCTGATACAACTGTTCGGAGTTCGTGGCTATGGCGAAGGCTAGTCAACCTACTTTGAGACTTTCAGACTCAAGCTAACCGACAGCATGTAGCTGAGTTTGTCCTGAGCATGATCAAAATGGTAGCATGCATGGGCTTCATTATTCTCGGAATTATCAGTGAGTATCGTTTGAGAGTTCCCAAAGAGCTTAAACCAGGGAGAAAGCTGACATTCGCCTGCCTTCAGTCAACTGTGGGGGTGAGCCAACCGACGACCGTGGCTACATCGGGGCTCGGTACTGGCATGACCCTGGCGCTTTCCGTAACGGCTTCAAAGGGTTCTGTTCAGTCTTTGTGACAGCTTCATTTGCCTTTGGTGGCACGGAGATGACCGGGCTTGCCGCAGCGGAAACGGCAGATCCACGAAAGCAAATCCCGAAGGCAGCAAAACAAGTCTTCTTCCGCATTGCCTTCTTTTACGTGGTGAATCTCTTCATTTTAGGTCTCATCGTCCCAAGCGACAGCGATGTACTACTCGGTTCCAGTGGCGCAAACACCAAAGCATCGCCGTTTGTTCTCGCCATCGAATTAGCGGGAATCAAGGTTCTCCCTACGATATTCAATGTTGTCATCACCATATCGGTCCTAAGCGTGGCAAATTCTGCCATGTATGCATCTACACGCACGTTTCAGGCCATGGCTATGTATAAAATGATGCCCAGCTCTTTCGGCTATGTAGATAGCCACGGCAGACCGGTCGTGACCATCGTCTTGCAAATTCTTTTTGGCTTGCTCGCTTTTATCAACGAGAAAACATCAAGCGGTGAAGTTTTATTCTCGTGGCTTTGGCACTTACTGGCGTTTCATGGTACTTCATCTATGGGAGCATATGCGTTGCACATATTCGCTTTCGAAGTGCGTGGAAGTTCAACGGTCACACACCGAAAGAGTTACCTCACCAAGCAACATTTGGAGTGTGGGGAAGTTATGTTGGGGTTTTTCTGAACTTCATTTGCCTTTGTGCACAAATATAAACAGCTCTATGGGTATGTTCAGCCTCTCTTGATCATCTAATCTATACACCCGCTAATGATTGACAGCCTCCGAGCGGAGCGAGTCCCAACGCAAAAACATTCTTCAATGCGTGTCTTGCTCTGCTAGTCATTTTGGTTCTGTACATATTCTGGAAAGTTTACAGTTGGTTCAAGCACCCTGAGCACAGGCCCATGTACGTTAAGATCAAGGACATTGACGTTTATGAGGGGTTGCGAGATGGATGGAACGCTGGATCAGCTGTCGAAGAGACGCAACAGAAGAAGGGCGCGGCAGGTTATCTAAAATCCTTTTATCACGCACTCTTCTGATGCATCACGGAGAAGTCTCACAATTAGACGCTTAGGACAAGTAATATGCAATGTATTTAGTTTATTGGGTGTCCTGCATCACTACGATCAAGGTCGCAGGTAGTCACACTCTAAGGCCAGAGATATCGAATCAACTAAATAGTACCCTATATCTCAAGGGTATGTCAAGGATGAGTCACATATATAGCTGCAAAGCTGGCCGATAATAAACATTCTACCGACCAGAACTTTTCCACGAAGAGCAACCATTTTCTCCCGAGGTTAGCTTTTCAACACAAAGCTACCAGGGATGCTGCTCTAAGACAAAGTTCTGCGATTGCTGTCATGTTAGGGGTTACTACCGATGGCATCTATCTGTTTATCCCATTATATGGCTTTATTGGCCCTAGTTTGCTTCTTGAGAGCATGCCAGAACAGCCCTCACGTGAGAATAAAGGCACATCCACAAGTCAAGACTGTAGATTTAAGCGTTCGAAGAGTTTTCAAGAATGAACCCCATTACTTATGACGGTCTATATTGACACAAAATGGTACCCCTAATCCGTTGAGAAAGTCCACACAAAGGTCCATTAGCAGGTCCTCGACGTGGCAGTGCAACATTTGGACAATTGGCCATTGCAAATGCCGTGTGCACTTCGTAAATGACAGATATGTCAAATCCCTTTCAGACTGGTACCTAGGCTGATGGAATGCCTTCTCAACCGACAGCGGCTGACAGGTATGTCTCGGAGACAATGTCAAGCACTGTGTGAAGGGGGAAACAGAGATAAGCTCAACTAGTGCCAGCGTGAATTCCTCCTATCATAAGGGCAAATACATGTTATACTGAGCCACAGCGTTGTGCATGACATCTATTTTGGAGTTTATTAATCTCTATGCTTCACAGGAAGATCTCTCACAGAATTGACATGTCGTTCTATTGTTCGAAACCGGACGCGACCCCCTCATCATCTCTTTCAGCTGAGCAACGACATAGGCTGAGCGAAGCCTATTTACTGGCATCAAATATAATCTTCTGCACTCTCATGTTGTTGGACTCATCATACCATTTGACTGCCTCGGACAGGGGTTTTATATTTTCTGCCAGGAATCTGTCATGATCAGTTAGAGCATTTCCAAATCGCGTCCGAAGAATACTTACTCTAAGTCGTCCTGGTGGCGCTCGAGGCTTTCAAGCGCTTGAGGAAACAAACCTGAGAAGAGAGTGTATACGTTAGCTCAATTCTCGCATGGGAAGCCTGATCAGTCCAGCTTACTTCTTACTGGGCACCGGCCCATATCTATACTGAGATTCTTGTGGAATGCTTGGTTCCCAGTCCATGGAATAGAGCCCACGTGAACACCCACGCTAGATATCTTACCCCAAGGCCGTAGTAGACTGAAACACATTTCAAGGGCGTCACTGTGTCCCACGACTTCAATCGCGATGTCTGCTCCTCGCCCATCCGTCAACTCCATCACGCGTGCTCGGAGACCATCCATGTCTGTGCGGTAGTCCCGCGGCTCAGCACCCAATCTTTTAGCTTGTTCCAAGCGTGATCCAATACTATCGATGGCGATAATATGTCTCGGCTTATAATCGAGTGCGGCAACCAAAGCGCACAATCCGACCGGGCCACAGCCAGCAACCAACACCACACTCTGGCGATGAACTTCTTCTTGCACCCCTCGAAAGGCATTATAAGCTGCAAAATATCCAGTTGGATAGATGTCGGCCATTAATACCAGCAAGTGCTCTCGGATCTTGGCAGGTGCTTTCACAACACATCCATCGGCTAGGGGAACACGGCAATACTGAGCTTGGCCACCATCCAGGCGAGGCGAGCCGAAGAGAAGATTCTTCTCACACCGTGAAGAATAGCCCTGCTTGCAGTAGAAACATTTGCCGCAGCTTATTGTAAACGGCGTTATGACTTTATCTCCTGGCTTGAGAGTGGTCACCGCCGACCCAACTTCCACAACCTCTCCAGTGAATTCATGTCCCATGATGAAATCGGTGGTTTCAGTGGGAAGATCTCCACGGAACACATGGAGCTCACTGTATAGATGATCTCGTTGCATCAGTCTAGGTTGCACACTCAGAGTTTGAGAGAGAGGGAGAAATACCTTCCGCAGAGCGCTGTATATCCAACCTTGACGATGATGTCTTCCGCATCTTCTATCTTAGGAATATGCCGCTGTTCCACCTTCACCTGTAGTTTTCCCTTGAAAACAACGGCCTGCATCATCTTTGTGAGTATGTCCAAAAATCTTTTTGCTCACTCAAATAGAAGCAACGCAAGGTAGGTCTTAAAGAGGAAACCTCACTGGTGTAACGAAAACCTTGATCACGTTATGCTTGTGCCGAGTTGTATCAATTTATTCTGTCTAGGTATTGAAGGAAGTAGCAACTTTCCTATGAACTCTGGGGCACAGGGACGCAAGATTCAGTACATAGCCATTCTGACCCTATTCCGGCGCACGATAGCACGCAAGAAATTCGCTGATCCGACCTCGTTAGTAACTGCCTCAATCGAGATATCTAAGACGTTAATTTGTCGGGTTTAGCTTCCCTACTTCGTACCACCTTCGTATGTGGAGAGTGGAGAACACCAAAACACACACTTCGTTCTCGATTACCGATTTTGGTGGCTGGGGTGCGGGGGCGAGAACGAGCCATATCGCGTCCGAGTCGCTCATCCTTCATGAAGTAGCCAATCCCGTATGAACTACATTGGAAGGGTGCATTCCGCTGTCTAGCCCGCCTTTCTCACATTATTCTCATCAACAAAACAACAATGACTTCTACCGACGAGCTGCAAGGCAAACTCGCCTTGATTACGGGAGCATCTGGAGGGTAGGTTTCACCTAGCGAAACTGATTTTGACTGTTGTGTACCAGTAAATACTGATGCCACCTATCTCTCTCAGAATTGGCAAAGCTTGTGCCGACGTTCTCTATCGCCAAGGTGTTCATCTTGCTCTGACGTATTCATCGTCAAAAGGTGATGTCGACCGTCTTGCCGAAGAGCTGAGCGAGATTGAGCTGCCAAAGCATTTCGGCCAGCCAAAAGTCTCCATTCATCAAGTTGACATGGCTGTCTCTGATCAAATTGGTCGAGCTTTTGAAGAAATCAACACTGAACATGGACAATTTCCAGATATCCTACTCTCTAATGCTGGTCATGGGAAGCGCATCCCGAATCTGGAAGATATCAGCCTCGATGAATTCGAGTATACCATCCGTGTGAATTTGACAGCATCATTTATACTGTGCAAGCTAGCCGTGCCACACATGAAAGCGAAAGGATGGGGCCGCATCATCTTGATGGGTAGCATCGCAGGTTACGGGGGAGGCATCAATGGTTGCCATTATGCCGCTTCTAAAGCTGGACTGATGGGCATGGTGAAAAATCTGGCTCTCAAACACGCCCAAGATGGTATCACCATCAACGACATTGCCCCTGCAATGATTGGCGGTACTCGTATGATTCCTGATGCCCAATTTGTTGAGGGCACTCCAGGCGACGTACGGAACATTCCTGTTGGACGACTCGGCAGGCCGGAGGAGGTCGCTAATGTAGTTATAATGCTATGCAAAACTGGATACATGACAGGCCAAAGCATATTACTTAGTGGAGGACTAAAATAATCCCCAATTCAATACATTAATACTTTTTCCTTTTAGTTCTCATTGAAAGCAACCTCAATCCCCCGTGTCATAGCGCAATCTGTTTATGAATATCTGGATGCAAAGATGCATTCAAGAGTCGTTGAGAATAAGTCTCTATTGCATAACAATTCTATATTAAAATAAATCTGTAACTGCTCCATGGCTCGCATCTCCAACAAGGGCAGCATATTTGGCCAGTGTCCCCCGACTGACCGGGGACTTTGGTGGCTTCCAACCAGCCCTTCTTTCAGCCAACTCTTCATCACTAACGTCAAAGTTGATAGTATTATGGACTGCGTCAATAGTGATAATATCACCGTTCTTGACAAGTGCGATAGGACCTCCAACTGCAGCCTCTGGGCAAACGTGGCCGACAATAAACCCATGAGAAGCGCCATTGTATCTGCCGTCGGTGACCAGAGCAATGTTCGTGAGCTCAGCCCCCTTAATGGCCCCAGACGCCTTCAATTGCTCAGGCATGCCTGGTCCACCCTTTGGGCCCTCATATCTCACAATCAGCACTAAATTCTCGTCATGAGGGATTTTGCCTCTCTCCAAAGCAAGATTCAAGTGCCGCTCCTTGTCAAAGCACATTGCCTTGCCTTGAAACAACAAGCCCTCCTTGCCAGTAATCTTTGCCACCGCTCCTTGAGGTGCAATGTTACCCCTGAGGATCTGCAAGTGGCCGGTTGGCTTGATAGGGTTGCTAAGTGGCCGGATAATAACCTGATCAGGAGGAAAAGAGGGCCAATCCTGGACATTTTCTGCTAAAGCCTTCCCCGTGATGGTAGGAATGCCGCCATCCAGGAGCCCTGCTGCAATCAACAGCTTGTGGACACTTGGAACTCCACCAATCTCGTATAAATCGGCCATGAGATACTTGCCGCTCGGAGCAAGGTCGGCAATGAATGGGATCTTATTTGAAACTCGCTGAAAGTCATCCAACGTCAGCTGCACATCCGCAGTTGCAGCCATCGCCAGTAAATGCAAGACAGCATTCGTAATCCCACCTAAGGCCATAGTCATAACAAGGGCATTTTCGAAAGATCGTTTCGTTAAAAGCTGTCGGGGAGTAATATCTTTCTCCAGGCAGATTTGAATTGCATCAGCAACCCTAGTGCATTCCCGCATTTTAGTTGGAGATGCCGCAGGCGTTGAGCTCGAACCAGGTAGAGTAAATCCCATAGATTCAATGGCAGTGGCCATCGTATTCGCCGTATACATCCCACCGCAGGCCCCTGCACCTGGGCAGGCATGCGCCTCCAGGTCTTCAATAATATCCTCCTTGGACTTGCTTGTGTCTCCACCATCCTCAGGCTGCTTCAGGGTGCTATAATGGTATGCCCCAA